GGAACCTTCGCAGGGAAAGGTCTGTCTACAGGAGAGGCTCCCTGCAGACAGGGGAAACGTGTCTCTCTCAGGTTATTACTAGTAGTGATTTTGTGTTCCAGTGAATGCTGTGACACGCTGTCCATCAGAGGTTTTAGCTGGCCTGAATCTGAGGTCTTGAGAGAAAATTCCTCCCCTTCTCTGCCTCCTAAAGTAGCCTCTTGCTCAGTCTCTCAGTCTCTCTCTCTCTCTGTCTCTCTCCCTCTCCCTCCCTCTCTCTCTCTCTCTCTCTCACACACACACACACACACACACACACACACACGTGTGGGAGGCAGAAACACAGTGAAGGTTCTTAACCTACTTACTGCCCCTACAAATAGTTGTGCAGCTTAGGCTCTCATTAATTACTTATTAATTACTTCTCAAAAAGTCAGTTTGAGAACATATATAACGTATAATAACTTCAGCACTTATTTTACATTTTGGAGACTTTTTCCGACTTTTATAATGTGAAAATATGCAATGATATCAGTAAGCCAACTTTAAAGAAAAATAATTAGTGTTCCTTTTTCATGCTCCTGGGTCACTTATTAAAATGTGTTCTGAGATCCCAAGGCCTATTTTTGGTAAAATCTTTCCATTATCCAACACTTACATGTGAATGAGGGTTCTCTCAATTCTTATTCAACCAAAATAAACTACTAGAATAAACACTAAAGTAGCAACTGTTACGTGCTACCCCAATTTGAAATTTTGTGTCTTTTCCAAAAATACTTACAGCTGAAACACATGGGTAGGGCTGGTGGACTAGGGCAGGGAAAGGGGCCCTGATTTTTTCTGGGCTTTTAGCTTGTGTTGATTTTTTTTTTTTTTTTAAGATTTATTTATTTCAGAGGCAGAGAAAGAGATCTTCGATCTGCTGGTTCACTCCCCAAATGGCCTAAACGGCTGGAGCTGAGCCAATCTGAAGCCAGGAGCCAGGAGCTCCTTCTGGGTCTCCCACGTAGGTGCAGGGGCCCAAGCACTTGGGCCATATTCTACTGCTTTCCCAGGCCATAGCAGAGAGCTGGATCGAAAGAGGAGCAGCCGGGACACCCACATGGGGGCGCTGTGGGCAGAGGCTTAGCCCGCTATGCCAGTGTTGCCCATTGTATTTAATTCTGATAGTTCATCATTCACCTCCATGTGCCCTGAAAAAAGTAATGCTGTCTGTGTCTGTGACCTCATGTGAGCAACTCCTTTTAAAAATTATTTTCAGAGGCCAGCACTGTAGCATAGTAGGTTAAGCCTTCTGCTCCGGCACCAGCATCCCATATGGGCGCCGGTTTGTGAGCCGGCTGCTCCTTTTCCAATCCAGCTCTCAACTTATGGCCTGGGAAAGCAGTAGAAGATGGCCCAAGTGCTTGGGCCCCTGTACCTGCGTGGGAGACTGAAAGAGGCTCCTGGCTTCGGATCAGTTCAGCTCCGGCAGTTGTGGGAGTGAGAGAGTTTGGAGAGTGAGCCAGCAGATGGAAGACCTCTCTCTCCCTCTCTCTGTAACTCTGCCTTTCAAATAAATCTTAAAAAATTATTTTCAGAAGAACCTCAGTGTATAAGATGGACAAACTCCTTCTCAGCAGAGGTGGACGGGCCTCCAGAACTCCTTCCAGGTCTGAAGGGGAGGGCAGGCAAACCTTTTCCAAGCCTGGTTTCCTTAGAAGCTTCGAATGGACGCTTGTCAAACCTCACTAATCCCATGCCCTATGCAATCCTAACACTGCTGTCTGTGTGACTGATTTTCCTAGCTGCCACCATCAACCCTGCCCCCACTTCGGCGGGGAGGGACCTTAGTGGGACCCAGGGTGTGCTGTTGATCAATGACCTGTGTCCTCTTACCAGAAGGGGTCACCTGACTGGACAATGAGGAAGGGCAGCAGTTGGTTCTGAGCTATTGCTCCTTTCTTTCTTCTTGCCTCCAAGAGGAAATTCTGGTAACCTGTACCACTCCCACACATTCTCGGTATGCTTTTGTTTAAGTGCAGCTTTTCTTCCTAATGAGCTCTGTTCCTCAAGTGGAGCTGGGAGGAAAAATCGAGACCTTGGGAATATGGGAATCCTTTGCGAATTATCTTACGTTAATGAGACTGGGAAGGGAAATCTAGTTCAGCTGTGCAAATTAGCTTGCTGTTCTGGATCTTGAGTTAAATTGCAGATTCTAATTAAATGCCCCCAAATAACTATGAAGTGGCTTCTGAGATCTTTTTGACACAGGTTTCTCTGTAGATGTTCCCTTTTCTATATCCAGCAATCTCAGGATGCCTGTAATACAAATTGCCCACCTAAGGAAAGCAGGCAGGTGGAATGAGCAGGGACCCTGCACCGGGAGGAGAATGGGGTCAGAGTGGATGGGTTTGGCAGCCTTTTAGGGCTGGTGAGGTATTGGGATACAGATGCGGCCCTCTGTTAGGGGGTGTGTCAGCACTGTCCCAGGTGAAGGGGCTGACAGGCACACAAAGGAGGAGCTGCTTCTTCATGCTAAATTTATGCCCAGAGTGCTGCCCCTGCCTGTGGCTAGCACGGGAGCAAATTTGAGTGACTGAGGATAACAATAAGGGAAGACAGAACAGTCCCTGGTGATCATACCCCCAGATACGGCCATCATCCTAACATGCACTCCTCCTGGCCTTTTCCCTCTGTGTTGTGTCTTTTTAAATGGCTACAACCAGAGCACAGGTGGGATATTTCATTAAAACACACACGATCCATTTGTTCATGCTATGTTGTCTCTCTTATGGCCATTAGGAGAACTGAATACCTTTTTTATTGAAGAGTAGAAATCACTAGAGTCTAGCTTAAGGAATTTTCCCACAGTGAAGTCGCTTGCGGAAGCAGCACATAGATCAAGCAATAGAGCATTTCTAGAACTGCAGAGCCGCTCCCTGCCAGCAGCCCCCTCCAAGAAGGCACTTTCCTGAGGAATCCACAGATTCGTTTGGCCTGTGCTTGAGCTTCATTCAAATGGACTCGCCTGGAGTGGGCTTCTCTGTATTTGACCTTCGACATTGTCAGATTCACCCATGCGGTTTCATCGTTCTGTTGATGAACCTTTGGATTGTGGTGTCTCATGTTAGGAGTGCAGCTGCTCTGAGCAGTGTCTACATGTTCTTGGTGACTGTAAGTGCATTTCTGTTGGTGGTTCCACTGTGAGCTGGGATGGGGACATGTGCTACTTGAATCGAAACTGCCAATTTTTTTTTTTTTTAAGATTTATTTATTTGAAAGACAGAGTTATAGAGAGAGGTAGAGACAGAGAGAGGTCTTCCATCTGCTGGTTCACTCTCCAATTGGCCACAGTGGCCGAAGCTGCGCCAATCCGAAGCCAGGAGCTTCTTCCGGGTCTCCCACGTGGGTGCAGGGGCCCAAGGACTTGGGCCATCTTCTACTGCTTTCTCAGGCCATAGCAGAGAGCTGGATCTTCAGAGGAGCAGAAGACTAGAACCGGTGCCAATATGGGATGCCAGCGCTTTAGGGGCCAGGGTGTTAACCCACTGAGCTACAGCGCCGGCCCCAAGACCGCCAATTTTCTAGAGTGGTTTACACCCCCCAGCAAAGTGTCAGGTCCAGTTATTCCATGTCCTTGCCAACACTTGGTGTGGTCTTTTTCGTTTCATGTGTTCTAGTGGGTGTGTGGAGATAGCTCATGGTTTCAATTTGCATTTCTCTAATGATGAGCTTGGTGAACTTTTTGGGTGTTTATTGGCTTTAACATGATCATTTTAATAGTTGTGTGTGTCTTACATATGTCTTACGGCTGTTCTAGAGTATAGTCACCTATAGCTGGGCGTTTAGATTGCTTTCTGTCTTTGCTGTCACAGACAGTGATACAGTAAGCATCTGTGTCCAGAGGTCTTTTCCGTGTTCTGGTCTATTGGCAAGAATTTTGTTATTGTTTACAAATTTCGTTGGTATTTACCATGTGCTTGTGCCACTTTCAGATGTTTTCAGTAATACAGGAACGTCGCCTGCAGCTCCTCTCAGTCCTGCAGCAAATTAGAACAGACTCTTTTAGAGGACTAATTTAGGTGAAGATAGATACACTTAGCATTACCTCTTCATTACTGTCAGTGGCTTCGTTTCCAAAATGTGTATCTTCTTTCATGAATGCATACCATTTTTACTTGCCTCATTAATGTTTTTTGGGTTATTTTATGTAAGCATTACTATGGAATGTACGTTTTAGCACTGCAAGTACTTGCACAGCCTTGCTGTTTTCATTTTGTGTTTTTTGACTTGTGTACATCAGCAAACCGGTGTCTTCCCTGTGACTTCCCCCTCCAGGCCTCTGCCCTCTCTGCTCAGATGCGCAGGCTGAGGTTCCTGGGCATCTGCAAGCAGGCACAGCCTGCAGGAGCAGCTGAGTCTACCTGAGGGCTAAGCACCTTACCTGCTGGTGTCCAGTCCCCAGATCCCGACACTTAACGTTAGCTCCCGGGTGGGGCTCCAGGCTCTGCCCCAGGACTGAGTTAGGGCCTGGGGATTCCATTCAGCAGGAAGGTTCCTCAGAGCCAGGCAGCAGCAGCAGCAGTGTGTGAACCTGGTGCCTCAGTGGAGCCTCCCATCCTCCCGTATTTGGATTTCCTTCTAGCAACCAGCGGTGGGCCGCATACAGCTGTCCTCATCCTAGCACGAAGCAGAGCCTCTGAGGGGCCCCGCAGCTTCTCTCTGTGCTTTGTGGTGGTGGTGGTGGGGGGGGCTGGGGGAAGGTAGGACTCATCTCTCTGTTTTCCCAAACTTAGCTGCCCGCATGAGTGTGTAGGGCAGCCCCAGATTTCCACAACAAAGCACAGGGAGCAGGGAGAGGAATGTGCATTTTCACATTCTTTTGGGTTTAAGCAAAACTTGTCATTTTTTAGCCAAAAAGTTAGATTGGGATGGGGAGCTCAAACCAGCATGGAGTGACTCCTGGGTCTTCTCTCCCAATTCAGGCATTGTGTTCTCGGGAACTTCATGTTGTTAAGCTTAAACTTTTCTCTTTTCAGATGATGGATTTGGATGTACTTCTTTGAAGAAATGCCACATGGTCCAAGGAGAAACATGTCCTGTAAGTCATTTTGGTGAATTGGCTCAGGTGTAGGGGTCCGGGGCCTTGGGTTCAGAGGTCTCCAAGGTAGACAGCCTTGGAGAAGACAGGACCTCTGGATATAGGGACACCTTTGAGGGGGGTGTTTGGAACGAGGCCCATGGCTCAGCCTAAGGACTTTAACTTCCAAAGGTGAGCTCCTTTTGGAGACAGCAGAGCTGTAGTATGTAACAGCCGACAAAACATGAAGCAGCTTTCTTGGTGTTTAAGCTACTTCTGAGAGCGGAGTGGGAGTCCATGCTCTGCCAGGGTCAGCATCCGCTGGACTCAGCTGTCGTGGCGCTCTGCCCAGAGCCCTCCCCGCCACGGCACCTGGCACTTCAGTTAGGTGTACACTATCACTTTCACACCTTGCCAGAAAGAAAACACAAGACCAAGGCCCACGGGCAGTTCGTGTAGCCCTGGCAACAAAGTGAGCAGGCCACAGACGCAAGCTGGGCCTCTCCAGTGTGCTACAGCCCCCGCCCCTCTAGCAGAGATGCGGTGAATCTACTGAAAACTTGAAAGGTTCCCTGAGACTTGCCAATCAAAGAGCATAATTGGGCAAGAAAGAGAATCTCAAAAGCCATATTTTAAGCCATCCTTAATGCGGCCTATCTTTGTTGACGTCATTTCTTTATGGGATCCCGTGGGTGCGAGGAGGGCAGAGTGACCAGAAGGGATTGAGAGCAGCAGACACCCCACGCTGGGTCCTCTCCTGCCAGAGGACCTTGGTCCCTGTGTGTCACCTGCGTTAGTTCACATTCTGTCTCCATGAATGTCTCAGTCACCATCCTCATGTTTGCTCACCAAGGCTCTTCTCCCATTTCTCAGGGTTTGCCGCCTTAGGCGACTAGGGCCTGGTGCCAGCGCTCCCCGCCCGGGAATCAGGCACGGTGTGACCCAGGAACAAGAAGCACATCCTCACCAATGACATCATGACAGCAAGAGAGCACAGCCCTCGCCATGGCGCCAGGGCCCGTGCGATGCAGCGGGCTTCCACCATCGATGTGGCAGCCGACATGCTGGGCCTCTCTCTGGCAGGTGAGCCGCAAGGGGCCTGCACCGGTTTCCTGCTGGGAGTTGGATCTTGCAGTTCCCACACTGGGGCAGTGCTCCGAGGGTGCAGCCTGCCTATAGCCAGGCTCAGCCCCATGTGGCTGCCCCCTGCTGGAGAGGTAACACTTGCATGGTATCCTTCTGGCTGGAACAGGAAGTAGGGAGGGGGAAGTTGGTTCTCTTGCTGGGAACTGCTTCTGCTGGAACCCAACCTTGTCATTTTTCTACTTCAGGTAGGCACCTCCAGGGCTTGTCTGCCATTAGGTGGTGTGTGACTGTCCACTCGGCCTGCCTGCCACATGCTCAGGCCATGATAAAAGTCACCTTGGGCTAGTCAAGCTGCCCCTTGGCATGCCCACATCCCCCAACAGAGTGCTGAATCAAGTCCCATCACCTCTGCTTCCAATCCAGCTTTATGCTAATGCATCTGGGGAGGCAACAGATGATGGCTCAAATGCTTGTGTCCCTGCCATTAGGTGGGAGACCCTGGTGGAGTCTCAGGCTCCTGACTTTGGTCTGGCCCAGCCCTGGCTGTTGCAGACATTTGGGGAGTGAATCAGAAGATCCATCACTCCCTCTCTCTCTCTCTCTCTCATTATGCCTTTAAGTAGGTGGAAAAAAAATATTTACAAAACACTGCATTGTGGGCAGGTAGACCTGATCAAAAAGGGGGGCTTGGTCTTGGGATGTGAGACCCCTTAGAAATCTCAAAAATGAAATGTTTAGCAAACTGAATGAATCATATATAAAAACTGAGGGGTGGGGTGGGCAGTAGAGTGTTGAATTTTCCTGTATTAAACCCAAAAGCAAGGTGATTTTTCTTTTATTTTCTATTCAGGAAACATACAGGATCCAGATGAGCCCATTTTAGAATTCAGTTTAGGTGGGTATCTTTTAAATTTTTCTGTTTGAACATGCGTTGCTTAAAAATAAAAACACAACCACAGCTGTGGGTTTGTTTCAGAGAACGTCTGTTGCCACCAGTGCTAGAGTGCTTCTGAGACGAGGCCATGGATTTCCTGTGGGTGAGGGGCTGCGTGTCCCCGCAGGCTGGCAGCTTCTGGGGATGGTAGCCCACCTAGGGCTACCAGCAGAGACCCCCCCCACACACACACACACCTCTCCATGGGAGAGGAAGGGAGAGGTGAGACAGGTGGGCTTGGGGCTGTGCTTTGTCACTGTCTGACTGTTACAACCTTGCGTGGTTGAGTGTAGCTCTCCCACCCTTGGTTTCCTATTCCGTACATGGTGGTAATGACACCTGTGTGCACTTTCTCAGCAAGGATGAGAGGAGATACTGAACTAAAAGCTGGATGCGAATGTGCGGGTTTGGAGTCAGGAAAATGTGGCATCCCCAGGACTTAGCCAGGAGGCTGGAGAGCTGGGTGGCCCGAGACACTTGTCCAGTGTCCCTCTGCCTGTCTCTCTAACCCTTGCTGTTGGAGAGCATTTGGTTAACAGCATGGTAATGATGATGGGAGGTGGTGTGACATAGAAGCGCCACCTTCTGAGGAGTCAGATGACCTGACTGTGCCAAACCGGCTGCACCACCTTGCGCCTACTGCTTGACTTGCTGGACCACATGCTGAATAGGGTGTTACTGCTGGTTTGAGAGACAAAGGTAACCAAGGCAATTAACCTCCCACCCCCAAAGACTTGGACAAATGGCAAAACCCATAAAAATGTAAGCACATGTAATATAAAACTCTGGAAATGTCCCCATTTCAGATTCAGTCCTCCGAGCAAGTTCACAGGGTTTTTCCCAACCTTGCCTTGCTGGCTGGTTCTGTAGGGGTGCCATGCACGGTGCAGTGTCCCGGGAGTGGGAGGCTTGGGAAGGGCAGCCTGTGATCCCGTGGAGCTCTCACACAGTTGCCTGGCCTCACCATAGAAGAGCTGTATCACTTCTCACAAACGACAAAGCTGACCCAAGGAGTTCAGGGTAACATACTTCCAAATTCCCCCTTATCTTAGATCAACCCAGACATCGGGACAGACAAGGAACAAAAACACAGACTGTAAGCAGTGAGGCAGTTTTTGGAACCCTGAAATGTAACCTGGGCCAGAGGGAACAGATGAAGGACTAGTGAGAAGGAGAAGGGAGTAGGGTCACACCTGTGTGCGCGGTGGTAGAGGCCAGAGGATTTGTCTCCCAGGCACTGGGATGGTCAGGTGACAAAAGCCGGGGCATAATGGAGATGTGTATAAAGAAGAGGCTGGGCTCAGCCTGGCAGGGGCTCTCGCTGCTTCTGCATTTCTCAAGAGAATACATCTCCAGTCCCTGCACGATCAATTTCCTGAAGTAGACATTTGAATTGCTTCCAAGTTTGCCTGTTAAGAATGAAGCTGCAGCGAACGTGTGCATGCCAATCTTTGGTTGGACAAAAGTCCACTCATTTTTAAGAAAGAGGTATTAGAAAGAAGGCTGCTGGATGTTGAGTGTGCAGGCTGGGCCAGGTGGGCCCATGCCAGTGAGTGGGTGCTGACTGGCCTGCTTTTGGTGAGGTTCCAGAAGCCCGGTGTCTCTTCGCCCCAGGGAGGAGTGAATGCCTTATTTTTCTCCAGAGAAAGAGTCTCCTGGCTGGAGGAATAAGGATGAGAGAAGAGTGGCAGGAGGGAGGGAAGTCATTATTCAATAATGACTTCCACTTAATCCTGGATGTTTTGTCTGGCTCCTCACTCTGTCTCCTCTGGCTTATATTTCAAAACTAGTTGCAGCCCAAATGTCATTAATTGTATAATGTAGACATAAATTGTGGTATCTTCATACCATGAGATGGGGCTCATCAGTTAAAAAAATGAGTTGTCAATACATATAATGACAAATGAATCTCAAAATCATTCCATTTATATGAAATTCAAGAACAGACAAAACTGTAGTGATGGAATCAGACTGTGGTCACCGCAGCGGAGAAATTGGGAGGTACAGGGGGAGCTTTATCATCTGTTGAAAAAGTTCTCTTTCTTGTTTTGTTGATGGTTGTGTGTGTGTTTATTATGGTTATCCAAATACATTGAACTGAAATGTAAGCTGTTTGTATTTTATTATGTTCAATAAGTAACGAAAGTTCATAAACAGATAGGAGAAGATATTTCCAAAGGGACAACCAGAGAGCCAAAATTATTTCTAGGAAATAAAAATCAGTCTCTAAATTTGCAGTCACCAGTGGACATTTTGAAAGTGGAATTCTGAAGGCAGGAATGGCAGAATGAAGCCCCTCTAAAAAATCTTCTCTTCCCTAAAGGCAATGAGAATACTGCCCAAAATATGGAAATCAATTGTTTCATAACTCTGGAAATTAACCAACAGCTAGTGACACCCTGGGGAGCATTTATCAAGAAAAATAGCTATCTCCGGGAGAACAGAGATCTCGATGGTATTTTCTCATGCCTTACTGCTGCTCTCCTCTCCCCAGTTCCCACACTTGAAAACAAACATCCTTGAGGTCGTGGTCAAAACCAGCAGCCTAGAAGGGAACAGAACAACCTAGAAGGCTTGGAGGTCCTACGAAGTTCCATTCTCGACCATAGAAGTTCCCCAGAAGACCCCCTTGCAGGCCTTGTCTTCATTTGGCCTAACTCAGGATTTACCCCGTGGGAAGTTTTCCCTTGAGAGTGTTTGCCAGAAATGATCAGTGGCAGTTATTAACATCACAATGCCTAAGGCAGTAAACTGTTGAGAGAAACAAGAAGCTTCCAAAAAACTTTAAGGAAAAAAAAATGAAGAGAGAAGGCTGGGGAATAGAACGTTCACAGAGCTTTGAACAGTTCTTGGTACGTGAGCATTCCTGGGGCTCTAGAAGGTCAGCATCTGTGTGCAACAGTGTACGTGTCCAGGGCCGTGTGCAACAGTGTACATGTCCATGGCCGTGTGCAACAGTGTACATGTTCATGGCCGTGTGCAACAGTGTACATGTTCATGGCCATGTGCAACAGTGTACATGTCCATGGCCGTGTGCAACAGTGTACATGTCCAGGGCCGTGTGCAACAGTGTACATGTCCAGGGCCATGTGCAACAGTGTACATGTCCAGGGCCATGTGCGTGCTCAGGCAAGAACTGAGAGGCCATAAATAGTCACCCTGGGCTGACCTGGACGCTCTATGGAAGCCAGAAGTGCAGACCGAATTACACACTGAACACTGATGGTGGACCCCGATGTGTTCACAGAAACTAGTCCAAACCACCACAGATGTCTGGTTCCTGCCGTTTAAGGAAATCTCTGTCTCATCATTATCCGATCACCAAGCTAACCAAATAGTCACTTCAGTGGCTACAAATGACAAAGAATATTTACTTTATGAATTTCATCAGGGAAGGCACAGACAGCAACAGCAGCCCAAAAGAGCAGCAACAGCAAACCCTGGGGGTTTGTGGGTGGTATTGGATTTCCATGGTTGCCTCATTATATTATTTAAAATGTCTAATTTTCAAAAACAGCTGTGAAAGTGTGACCCATACATAGGGAAAAAACCAAACCTGCTCATTGGAAACTATCCCCAAGGAAGCACAGCTGTTTTAGTTAAAGATTTAAAATCAGCAATCTTAAATATGTTCAAAGAACTAAAGGAAAGTATGAGAACAGTGTCTCACCAATGGATAATGCTAATTTAAAAAGAAAGAAATAAAGAATTCTGAAACACACATTTATTGAGAAGCTGTAGATTTCAGCAAGCAGAAGAACAAATCAGCAGACTTGGAGATGGGTCAGTTGAGATGCTCCAGTCTCAGGAGTAGAAAGAGAAAGGAGAGCGAAAAAGTCAAGTGTCCACACGAACAATTGTATATAAATGTTCATAGCAGTATTCACAATAACCAGAATGTGGAAGCAACCAGAACAAACATCAGCTGACGAATGGGTAAACAACTGGTGATACTTCCATAGGATATTCTCCCATTTAGAAATAGTGATACTTCCATAGAGTATCCACCCCCACAAAAAGTATAAATGAGCCTTGAAAATATGCCAGATGGAAGAAGCCAGACACAGACGGCCGCACACTGTATGGCTCTGTTTCTGTGAAATGTCCCGAATAGAGACCGTTTTACCGACTGGAAGTGGGTTAGTGGTTCCTGGGGAGCTGGAGGAGGAGACAGGGGCACTGACTGCTTGTGGTATAGGTTTGTTTCTCTCTTTCCTCAGTGATGACAGTGTTAAGGAATTAGTGGTGATACTGCACCATTCTGTAAATACCCTAAATCCCACTGAACTGTACACTTTAAGAGAGTGAATTTTATGGTATGTCCATTATATCTTAATAGAAAACATTTTTTTTTTTAAATCAAGAGAATACTACTGAAAATGTGCATCTGTGAAGGGAAAAGAAGGAATAACATCACAGCTCAAAGGAAAACTAAGAGATTGTGAGTGAAGAGACAGGACAGGTTCTGGAGTTCTAGTGCTTGGTTGGATCAGCGTAAGTGAGGGAGACAGAGAAGCAGGCCAGAAGTAAGGAGGAATCCTTTCCTGAGAGAGAGGTGCCCCTCCCACCCAGATTGTTTACCATCTGCCAGGCATCTCATTGTCAAACTTCGAAATTCCGGGGGTAAAATTTGGCAACACAAAACTCAAATCCTGCCATTAGAGTAAATGAAAACAAGAAAAACGAGCAGACCTAAGAAATGCTGGGCCCCTGTCTTCAGAAGACTGATAGGGTGGTAGAAGATTGGAGGATGCAGGCCCACTTACGCCTTTGAGGCCTTGCCCTGATTCCTGAGAGCAGGCTGAGATGTGAAGACAGAACAATGCTGCAGACAGACCCTCAGTGCTGAAGTATGAAGTGACAAAGGCTGTTCTTTAGGGCCCACAGGGCAGGGCACAGGGCAGGGATTCTTGGTGCCACCCCCTTCACATGGATTTCACTTCCCCCTTACCTTTAGTGGAAGGGGGACCACAAGCAGGTGTGCACAGATCCCACTCAGTTCCTGAAAATAAATGAATTTACCCTAGGATGCTGGTGTTCCTTCGAGCCAGGCAGAAGCAATCGTAAATTTTCTCTGGAGAAAGGCAGAAGCATCCTAGGTTTCAAATAATTTCTACAAACAGTTTTTTGAAATGTAATAGCATGAAATCATGCATTCTCAGAAACAGGTCAAAAGAAACGCTAACAGAAACAGACATACAGGGATTCTAGATACCAGAATAAATAGAAAAAATGCTAAAATAACCATTAACCTGTGTCTTAGTCTGTTTGGGCTGCTCTAACAGAGTATCAAAGGCTGGTGGGCTTAGACAACAGAAATTTATTTCTCACAGTTCTGGAGGCTGAAAAGGCTAAGATCAAGGTGCCAGCAAACCTAGTGTCTGGTGAGGGCCCGCCTCCTGGTTGTAGATGGCGGTCAGCTGTGTCTTCATGAGAGCAGAAGGAACAGGCTCTCACATCTCTCCCTCTAAGGACACTACGCCCTCTTATGAGGATCCTAATCACCACCATCATTGGGAGATGCCTCCTCTCCTGATACCAGTACCTTGAGTATTGGGATTTCAGCATTAAAATTTGGAGGGAGGAAACCAATTATCTAGTCCATAACATTATTTCAAAGGAGATTAAAGACATTATTGAACACTTCATCAGAGAAGCAGAACCCATAAAAGAAACCAAATGGATATTCTAGAATTTAAAAAATAACAAGTTTGAAAACCTATGGATGGGTCTAAAAAACATATTAAGCATATTCTACACAACTAAAGAGAAAATTAGTGATATAGGTCAAGAAGAAAATTCCAGAATGAAGCCAGAGAGAGAAGACAGTGTAAAAAAAAAAAAAAAAGGCAGTCTCTGGAGTGAGACGTCTCACATGTATTTATTTTGTGTCTAAAAAGGAACATAGAGAGAGACGGGTCAGAGCAATGTTGGAGCATTTCTCCCAAGCCAATAAAATGCAGTGAGTCACAGAACAGAAAATAGACCTAGACACATCAGAGTGAACTACAGAGCGCCAAACCCAATGGGAAAACCATACCAGCAGCTAGAGAACACACACAATGCTCAAAGTAGCAACAATTGAACTGAGTGCTGACTTCATAACCAAAAAATAGAAACCCAGAGACGATCTTTTTAAAGAGTTCGGAGAAAATAACTGCGGAGAAAATAACCTTCAAGAACCAAGGTGCAATGAATACATTTTCAAACCGTAAACAGCCAAAAGACTGTGTCCATGCCAGGCCTGCACTAAACCCAGTGCGGGGACGCTCCTCAGGAGGCACGTAGCTCCAGATGGAAGTTCATGGATGTCCAAGTCCAAAAACATGAGCAGGGCTCTGGGGTAAACACCTGGGTGTAGCTGAGTGGACAGTGATTATATAAAATAAACACACATGTGTGCTAACACAAGTGTAGCTTTGTTAGTGTCAGACAAAATTGTTAGAACCAGAAGGAGCAAAGGGAGCCATGTGCAATGGTTAGATCGTTGCCGCTTATCTCAAAGGACAGTGATAGCCAATGAAAACATACTCCCAGTGAGTATGATGAATGAAACCCCGGTTGATCTCTGCTCAGAACACACCAAGACGTTGCTGCCTCCCTCCCCTCCTTCACTTTCATCCTACTTCACTGATTTGCTTCTAATCTGTCCTCTACCCTTTCTTTAACTCATCTCTGTTAGTGCCTTCGTTCTGTCCCATCCCTCCTCCTCTCCCTGCATTTTCTGTTTGTCTAACCCATTGTAGGTGTGAGAATGTTTTTAAATCAGAGTTTTTAAATTTTCAATTTCATTTTAATTGTGATCAACCGTACGTAGCGTAAAGTTTAGCACCGTAGCCATTTTTAAGTAATCAGGGGCATTAAGTATGTTCACATTGCTGTACAGTCATTACTACCATCCATCTCCAGAATTTTTTCATTGTGAAAAACTGAAATAGAGTTAATAAATTTTAATGTTCTCTATTCTTAATTTAAAAGGGAAAAAGCGAACATTTTTAATTCTAAATGAGCCCTGTCAGAAAAGCAGATTATTTTTGCCGCTGTTAAACTTTGATTGACCATATAGTAAATCCAGGATATCCTTTTTTTTTTTTTTTTCACATTCTAGTACCTCTTTAATAAGGAAGTGTCTTACAATCAATGATACATCACTGTTTAAGGACAAGAGAGTTTTGGTTTTTTTCCTCTCATAGTATGCTTGACAACAAGGAGCATGCTAGATTCAATGAAGAAAGAAGATTATCTTTTGCAAGATTTTTAATATCATTCAGTTTTCAAACCAAAGTGGTTCTACAAGGAATCTTTCATTCTGAAAGCTAATATTTCTAAAAATCTTTATTTGTTATGAGTTTTTTAAAAGATTTATTTATTTATTTGAGAGGCAGAGTTACAGATAGAGAGAGGGAGAGACAGAGAGATTTTCCATCTGCTGGTTCACTCCCCAAATGGCCACAATGGCAGGAGCTGTGCTGATCTGAAGCCAGGAGCCAGGAGCTTCTTCTGGGTCTCCCACATGGGTGCAGGGGCCCAAGCACTTGGAGCACCTTCCACTGCTTTCTCAGGCCATAGCAGAGAGCTGACTGGAAGAGGAGCAGCCAAGACATGAACTGGCGGCCCATATGGGATGCCAGCTCCACAGACGGAGGTTTAACCTACTATGCCATGGTGCCGGCCCCATTTATTACAAATCTTACAAAGAATAAATGAGAGCAGTGCCTTACTTTAAAAACAAAACAAAACAAAAACCTGGGGCTGGTGCTGTGGTGGAGTGGGTAACACCACCACCTGTAAGCCTAGCATCTCATGTGGGCGCTGGTTTGTGTCTAAGCTACTCCTGTTCTGATCCAGCTCTCTGCTAATGCAGCTGGAAAAGCAGTGGAAGATGGCCCAAGAGTTTGGGCCCCTGCACCCGCATGGGAGACCCAGATGAAGCTCCTGGATGTAGGCTTCTACTTGGCCCAGTGCTGGCCATTGTGACTATCTGGGGAGTGAGCTAACAGGTAGAATCTCTCTCTTTTTTTGTTTCTGTCACTTTCTCTCTGTAATGCTAATTCTCAAAATAAATAAGTCTTTTTTAAAAATAAAAAAATAAATTTTAAAAAGCTGTATTTATTTTGCTGTAGAATTTTCATTTTCTTCCAGCATATGTCAGTCTACAAACCAAGACACATGGGGCACCAGCCGCTTAGAGGTGGCCACTGCAGCCTTGGATGCAAATGGGTGTCGCTATTCCATAGACTGCAAGGCTTCTTAGCTCAACTGTTGGAGTCCAGTGAGGCACTGAATTCAGGCTGTAAGGGTCAAGTCCCAGAGGCTTGTGGTTTTGTGTTCCTTTCCATGCAGCCTTGTGCTGCAGTGAGGGCCTTCAGGTCTTTCAGGACAGGAGAGGCTGTTAAGAGACGGTCTCGTATTTTAAAATTCACCTGCCTGTGGCCACTGACAATGTCTCTTCCCTCTGGGGGTCTTTTATTCCCTGTGCTTTGTTTGAGTGTGTTTGGAACAGAGAACTAACTAGAACCTGATTGCAAAGGACTCATTTCTTTCTCATCTTATCTTTACAGCTTGCAGTGAGTTGCATACGCCTTCGCTAGATCGAAAACCAAATAGTTTTGTAGCAGTGAGCGTCACCACCCCTCCTCAGGCCTTCTGGACAAAGCACGCACAGACGGAGATCATTGAGGTGGGTGCTGCTGCTTGCTCTCCTCAAGGGAGTGCCAGACGTGCCTGCGCCGTCTTGCAGCCCTGATGGGACTGGGGCTGGAGCTGGAGCTGGGGTCAGGGGTGGGGGGATTTAGTTACCCCAGCATCTGCGGCTGCAGTTGGATTATATGAATTGTTGCTGTTTCTCTGTGGAGTGTGATTAGGTTGATGTTTAGCCTTTATGATGACTGATTAATTATTGGCTGGTTATTTTTGAAGAGTGATCCTGATTCTTTCTCATCGTTTCCAATTGCATGCCGCATTTAGAGAACTGTGTTCAAAGCTTGGAGGAGTGCTACTATTAACTTACCCTGTTGCCAGGACGTATCTCTATTTGTGTTGGTTTTTATTTTTCCAGCTGTTGAGTTTTGTGTGATACTTCTGCTCTTTCCTTTAAATTAGTTGATATCTATTCAGTGTGGGAGTTTTTACAGAATCCTTTCCGACAATTGAGCACATCACATAAGCTATTGCCTTAGTATTGGAGTTGCTGGTTTGCTACAGTTGCATTTGTAACGTGAAGAATCACCAAACTGAAACTGCATTTCCGTTTCATGTTTTAGAAGCTAAAACCCCTCTTGTGGTGTCTTAGAAGTTTGTTTCCAAGTTCAAGTTGACAATTCTGTTTTCTGAGCGTTTGTTGAGCTCTGTCTATGTGTGAGGCATAGTGCCAGGCACTGTAGATGATAGGTAGAACAGGGGCGCAGTCCCTGCCCTCCGGCGTTCCCCAGCCTGTCAGTAGGGAGGCACAGATGAATCTGTCTACCTCCCTACACTGCGGAGTGTGGGAAGTGTTGGTAGAAAAGGGACAGCAGCACTGGAGTCCTGGCGTCCCATCCAGCCCTGAGGGTCGGAGCAGCTTCCCAGGGGAAGCTGAAAGAAATGACGCCTCAGCAGGTTTGCAGCAGGGCCCAGGACTCACCAGCTCCCAGGTGATGCCCTTGCTGCCGCCCTGTGGGCCTCACACGGAAGAAAATGCCAGAGTTTCATGCTAGCTATGCAAAGGCATGGCAGTTGGAAAGCTTCATGCAGGTTTGGGGAAAACACTTGCTTGGTGTGGGCAAGGCACAAGTGGGAAAGACGGGAAAGGAGGCCCTGGAGTCCAGGCCAGGGACTTTGCCACACAGCATACAGTAGCCAGCTGGTACGGGCCCTTGTGCAGGGGAGCCTCCTGACCAGAGGTCGTGACTCACACAGGCGTTTGGCATCCGATTGGCAGTGGGATGCATGTAGGAGATCTCTGGAGATGGCACTTGGCGGTAGTTCTTAGTCACTGGATGGCAGGCAGTGACAGCGAACCAGACACCAAAGCCGAGTTTTTAACCTGATTGGAAGGAGATTGGAGATGGGTGGGAGGAGAAGGGCAGGTGGAAGAAGAAGTGGAGCTGGGTTGAGGCCCCAGGAAGTCTCCAGGAGGGCTGACCAACAGGCCTTAATGGACTAGACCTGGGGCTGCAGAGAGAAGATGGACAGAGGCAGACGCTGAAGCAGGTACAGCCTCGACAGGATTGGTTTGGCCAAGGAGCCAGTAACCATGGCCCGAGAAAGAGGATGTGATATATCCCTGCTTTAGGGCAGGGCTAAACTGCCAAGAAATAGCCTCTTGTGATCCAGAAACTAGCAATTGGTCCTAAAGAAGAACTTACAAGTCAGGCTTTAATTGTTCCAAACACAGTATTTTAGAAATAATAAATGACTTAAACCGTTCCTTTCCCCTTTCATCTCCCTGTTTGTACATCTTAAAGGATCTGTCCACAATCGTAAATCCAAATACACAATGCACCTAAAGTTGTGATACTAAGAATTCATGTGGCCGGCGCCGCGGCTCACTCGGCTAATCCTCCGCCTTGCGGCGCCAGCACAGCGGGTTCTAGTCCCGGTCGGGGCACCGGATTCTGTCCCGGTTGCCCCTCTTCCAGGCCAGCTCTCTGCTGTGGCCCGGGAGTGCAGTGGAGGATGGCTCAAGTGCTTGGGCCCTGCACCCCATGGGAGACCAGGAGAAGCATCTGGCTCCTGCCGTTGGATCAGCACAGTGCGCCGGCCGCAGCGCACCGGCCGCGGCGGCCATTGGAGGGTGAACCAACGGCAAAGGAAGACCTTTCTCTCTGTCTCTCTCTCACCATCCACTCTGCCTGTCAAAAATAAAATAAAATAAAAATTAAAAAAAAAAGAATGCATGTGGACATTGTACTCATTTCCACTTTAGAAAATTCCTGCATGTGAAACTCTTAGAATTGGGCCCAGTCGTGGGTCTGTATCTGCAGCATCTGTGTCAGATTGCATTCTTCTCTTTTGGAAAACATCCATTTAAGCCAACATTTGTGTTGATCCAAGTCAGTAAAAATGTTAGCTTCTCATTCTGAAAATGTTGATCCATTTCAAAAGCAGTTACTTTAAATGCAATTCTGTATTCTGATTTTTCCTTTTCTGTTCTAGGGAACCAACAATCCTATATTCCTGAGCAGCATTGCCTTCTTTCAAGACTCTCTTATCAATCAGATGACACAGATCAAGCTCTCCGTGTATGACGTCAAAGATAGATCTCAGGGAACAGTTAAGTAACACGCTGCAGTTGGCGGGAGTTTCTTCCCCTGTTTGTAAAGTTCGGCAGTCATTTGTGGGGGAGTGGTGAACACAAGATGGATTTCACTGCTGGCATATGTGTTAACTCATGTCTACATGTGATTGTCATTGGGGACATCTTTCTGAACGTTCCCATTAGGCTCCAGAGATGATGAGGAGGATGATGATGATGATGAGTGTGGTATGGAACTTTTCAGACTTCTCTGGGCCATGGGCCTCCTTGCACCAGCACTCTAATGCTGTTTCCCCGTTTCTTCCTCAGATGTATTTACTGGGCTCTGGAACGTTCATTGTCAAAGACCTGCTGCAAGATAGGCATCATAGGTTGCATTTAACACTAAGGTTGGTATTTAAAAGCAGTCCTTTGAAAGTGTCTGGAGTTCTTGGGACAGATGGGGAAAGACCCCATTTCCTACTCTCAGGGTACCATTCCTCCTCCAGAGACTGGTCTAAGAGGGGAGGTGGCAGAGCCCATCAGGGGACCAGTCATGGGGTGGAAATCTGTGGTGTCCACAGAAGTCTGAGCACTGTAGTACTCAGACCTAAAGGACAACATAGGTAATGTATAATAATAATAAAATCATTTCTTTCTCATTTGTCCCTTTCCCTGGAGAATACAATCTCCCAGATAGCAGAGATTTTTGTCTGCTTTGTTTTGCTGCTGTTTCCCCAGCACCTAGCAAGTGCCTGATTTTCAACACATATCGATTGAATGAATGAAAAGGAAGCACCCATTGTGTACTTAGATGGGAACAAAAATGGGATCAAGTTGTCAATCTTTCCTAAACCAAAACTCTGATAAAGCACTTTTCTTTCTTTTTTTTTTTTTAAAGATTTTATTTATTTTATTTGAGAGGTAGAGTTACAGACAGTGAGAGAGAGAAAGACAGAGAAAAAGGTCTTCCTTCCGTTGGTTCACCCCCCAAATGGCTGCTACAGCCGGAACTGCGCCGATCTGAAGCCAGGAGCCAGGTGCCTCCTCCCAGTCTCGCACGTGGGTGAGGGGCCCAAGGAACTGGTCCATCCTCTGCTGCTCTCCCAGGCCTCAGCAGAGAGCTGGACTGGAAGTGCAGCAGCTGGGACTAGAACCTGGCACCCACATGGGATGCTGGCGCTGCAGGCGGAGGATTAACCTACTGCATTGAGGTACCAGCCCCAGTGCTTTTCAAAATGTAAAAATTGGATTAATATTATCTGGGAAAATAGTCTAAAATAGAATGAAAATTTGATAGTGATCAGTTCCCTGCCATATTGAGACAGTTGGAAGCCACAGTAGCTTGCCATATTTAGACAGTTGGAAGCAGCAGTATTGCAGGTGTTGGCTGACTAATTAGTAGACAGGGCGAGAACACTGCAGCAGTCCTGTATGTGTGTAGAGATGTTGAGTCAGGAAAAAGAAAGAATCTTATGCAAAATGAGAGAAGGTGAAAAAAATCATATGAGGGAAAGAAAGGGCTGTTTGGGAAAAATACTTAGGTACGTCATGGGCCAGAACTAAAATGAACATTATTTAAAAAGGTGCACTCCCGTCCTGACTCTGAGACGCAAACCTCCTGGTGATCAGTAGCAATGACTCCTGATTGGGAAGCCCCCTCCGGCCGCACCAGCCACGTCCCCACTGCCCTGTCTCAGACCCAGGCCTCCCCTGCCCTGCCGGGCTTCCTTGTCTGCCTCTCCCTGAAGGAGCCTGCCGGTGCTGTGAATGCCGACTGACTGAGGATCCAAGTTGGCTGTGCTGTGCGTTTAAGCCAAAAAGAAGCAGAGTTAAAACACCGCTCCTCATAGCACGTTGCCATTGCAGGTCTGCAGAGAGCGACCGTGTGGGTAACATCACTGTGATCGGCTGGCAGATGGAGGAGAAGTCAGACCAGCGGCCCCCTGTGACCCGGTCTCTGGACACTGTCAATGGGAGGGTGAGTCTGCCAGTGTCCTTTTTTCCCCACAGAGTAAGACAGGCCATCCCCTTGTCTAATCTCCGCTCTGCTGCTCGATGCTGCCCCCTGCAGGATGCTGCGACCCTCCCCGGCAAGACTGCCCTCCTGGAGCCCGCCTCTGCTCTGGGTGCCACACTGGCTGTCTCCAGAGGGGAGGAGCAAGCAGACCATAGCCTGAGTCACTGCAGTTGACAGGGGAAGGGGCTGCTGTGGGGGTGCTGAGCCTGAGTGCAAAGGCATTTGAGACCTACCTTAGCTGTTAGAGTAGTTTGTTACTATTCTCCTCTTCCACACACACACACAGGCCCTGCAGTAACCTCACACACACCCACCTTCTCCCCCTCTCTGTCTATGTCCACCTCGCTGTCTGCCCTGCCCTCTCTCATCAGTGTGCACCCTCCGTCCCGCACAGTCTGTCAGCAGGCACTCTCAGACTCCCCAACATGAATGCGAATTTAAGAATCCTGACACTGCTAGGTAGTCATTGTTGTCAAACTGCAAAGATTTCTCCTTTTACGCAAATGAAGCCCAGAACGTTAGTTTGAGAAACGCTCTTTTGCATCATGTATCCCTCCGTTTGATTTTTCACACAGAGCACTGAACACGGGGGGAGTGACTCAGAAGACATGCAGGCCCAGGAGCTGCATGCTGGCAGTGTGTTCAGGGTGCTGGGAGGGGGGGCTCAACGTGGCTGTGGCTCGCGTGGCGTGCTTATGGTAGGGCTAACCGTGCATCTGCAGTTCAAGGGTTCTCTTACGTTGTATGTGGGCCCCCACTTCTGCAGAGTGCTCTGGGGTTGTCTGAGTCTCCCGGTTTCCTTGTGCTTTCCTGTACGTCTTATAGATGGTTCTGCCTGTGGATGAGAGCCTGACTGAGGCGTTGGGAATCCGATCCAAATATGCTTCACTGCGAAAAGACACTTTACTGAAGTCAGGTGAGCGGCTTTCTCCACGGATGCTCCTGTCACTCTTGCCCAGCCGACTCTCGGGTCGATGGCCACCTTTTGCTCCCCATCTGGTGTGGCCATCACGGCCGTGCACCCCTGTTGTCCCAGCTCTGCTGCTGGTCAGTGTGTTACTCCTTCCGCAGCATCAAGAGTTGCTGACGCTCCAAGAAAGAGGAGGCTCCTCCTCCGTCTCCTTGTTTCTCGTTTCGCCCTGAGTTTCGTGATTCACACCCTCCCTGCTCCCAGCCCCTTGCCCTGAGAGTTTCTTAGATATGCGGGCACAGGAAGACTTCGTGTCTGGGAGAGGAACATTCTGGCTCTGTCCCCGGTGGGTTTTTGGTTTAGATGTTGTGATTCTCTTGAGACAAGCAGAGAAAGGACTTGAGGGTGTGGGGAGGAGGACCGTGAGGCAGATCTGCGGCCAGCTCAGCCACAGCCACTGTGTCCTCTGCATCCCACCGCAGTGTTCGGCGGTGCCGTCTGCCGCATGTATCGGTTCCCAACCACCGACGGCAACCACCTACGGATCCTGGAGCAGATGGCGGAGAGCGCGCTCTCCTTGCACGTGCCCCGGCAGTTCGTGAAGCTCTTGCTGGAAGAGGATGCGGCCAGGTGAGGCTGTGAGGGGCCGGGGTGGCAGGGCCCAGTCACGTGTCCCTTCGTTTCTGAGGTGTGGGCAGAGCACTGACATCTGGCAGGCTGGACTGCAGACCCCGCTTTGGCCACTTAGCACCCTGCGGCCTGGGCGCGCTGAAGCCTCTGCTTGCTCGTCAGTCTCAGGAACTCACGTGCAATGATTTCACAGAACAGAGCTTGAACCTCAGATGTGTGTCAGCGCACAGCGCCTCTTCTCTTCCCCTTCTTCTCTCTTCCTCTCTCAGTGGCCTTGCGGAAAGTTAGAGATCGCTGATTGTCCCTTGGTCATGGCCGCCCAGGTCAAAGTTTCCTAGGTTAGTCCTCAGAGAACAGGGCTGCAGAAGGCGAACTTTGACCCCTCAGGGCTCTCTGGTTCCATGGAGCAAGGGTCTCCACCCCTTCACACCTGTCAGACCAGAGCAGGTGCCATCAGTCCTGAGGCCAGGAGGGCCTGCGAGGTGTTTCAGGCCCTGCAGATTCTCCTGTCTGTCCAGTTACTGTCCCTGCTCCTTGTCTTACAGCAATATTAATTATAAACACAGTATAATAGAGGTATGAAAAACAACAAGGCAACCAAAATCCTCCTGTTTTAATGTAGCTATTCTGTTTTAATTTTTTAGCTTGAAAAGATTTCAAGCTTAGAGAAAGATGGCAGGAATAATGCAGGGAGCACCTAGACACCTTTCACCTAAATTCACCAATTGCCAATATTTTGAAAATTGCTTTTTCTTTCTGTACACACACAGTTATTTTACTTCAAAAATATTTTTTGGCCTTGTCCATACTTGTGTATATTTACATGGTTGCAATGTACTTTTCCATATATCTTCAGTGTTCACATTTTAATTTATTTAATTTCAGTTTTCACATTTTAGTTTTTAATAATGGCATCATTTCCTATTGTGTGGTGGGTGCGTTATCACTTTAAAGAGTCCACCCCTCTAACCATTTTGTCATCATTATGGTCAGCAGCCAGCGCTGTCAGGCACTGACAGCGCAGGGCTTCTTGGTGAGTGTGACAGATGGGGAGACAAGACACGTGGGGCGTGTCACCCAGGAGCTCCGGGTGTGCCAGTGTGTGCCCGAGGTTAGAAGAGCCATGACAGGGAGAAGGTGGTCATGGCAGACCTCTGGAGGTTCTGGCATGCAGCTGACCCCCAAGGCAGAGAAAACAGCCAGTGAGACACAGGCAGAGACATTGCAGAGAGCGGGGCCAGCCGCACCAGCACCTGCAGAGCTTCTGTGCTCGGGAGAGGCCTGAGGCTGGGGGCAGCCTCTGGCGGGGGGTGAGGACATTGGATTTCTCTGCAGCTCTGCCTGCGCTGGATGCTTCTGTACATTGAGCTTGGTATTTCAAGAATAACAAAGTGACAAAGCCCCCCCCCTTTTTTTTTTAATTTTGAGAAGCAAAGAGACCAGGACAGCAGGTTCCCATCTTCTTGATTCACTCCCCAAATGCCCACAGCCATTGAGCTTAGGCCAGGGCTGAAGCCAGGAGCCAGGAACTCAATCCAGATTTCCCACCTGCGCAACAGGAATCGAGCTGTGGGAGGCATCACAGCCGCTTCCCATTGTCTGTGCTGACAGGAAGCTGGAGTAGGAGCTGGAGCTGGGGAATGAACTCAGTCTGATTTGGGACGTGAGATCTCACCCAGTGTCACCCACGTCTCAGGCACCCCCACACACATACTTTTTTTTTCTAACTTCTGACAATTTATTAGTTTCCTATTAACTTTTATAAAATTAACATTGCTTTTTCCTAGAGGAAAATATATGGTCTAGTATAAAAAAAATCAAATAGTGCTGAAAGTTTTTAACATTGTTGTTTATTTTCATTTTACTTAAAAGGCAGACAGAGAGGCAGAGAAATCTTCCATCGGGTTCACTCCCCAAGTACCCACAACAGCTGGGGCTGGACCAGGCTAAAGGCAGGAGTTCAGTCCAGGTCTCCCACAAGGGTGGCATGGGCCCAAGTGCTAGGTCATCACTTGCTGCCTCCCAGGGTGTGTGGAAATGAGAGCAGAACCAGGAATCAAACTCAACACTCCAGCATCTTAAACACTGTGCCGAACGCCCACTCCTGAAAAGTTTCTAGCTAAAAACAGCCTGATCTTCTTCCCAGGAACAGTCTCTTTAGTGGTTTTAGTGTTTGCTGCTACCTTTCTGAATGTATGTACAGGGTCCTCTCATTAATCAACTGTAGGGATTAGTGGCTGATTTCCTGCGGTGAGGATTTAGTCTGTTTATGCTTTCCCCGTACCCATTTTCCTAATCTTATTTTTTTTTTTAAGATTTATTTATTTATTTGAAAGGCAGAGTTACAGAGAGGCAGAGGCAGAGAGAAAGAGTCCTCCATCTCCTGGTTCACTCCCCAAATGGCTGCAAAGGCCGATGCTGGGCCAATCCAAAGCCAGGAGCCAAGGGCTTCTTCCTGTCTCCCACGCAGGTACAGGGGTCCAAGCATTTGGGCCGTCTTCTACTGCTTTCCCAGGCCATAGCAGAGAGCTGGATCGGAAGTGGAGCAGCCAGGACTTGAACTGGCACCCATATGGGATGCTGGCACTGCAGGCGGCGCCTTTACTGCTGTGCCACAGCCCCGGCCTTTATCTTTCCTTTAACAAAAATTCTCCTTGTGTTTTGTTACTCTGGTTATATAGTGAATACTCTCTGATGAGTTTAAATTTCAGTTCTTACACAACCTTTATTTTACTGGAGATAATAATTCTTTTTTTTTTCTTTTTCCTCCTCTTCCCTCTCCCTCCTTTCTCTGCCTCAATCTCTCTGTCAGACCCACACATATAAAACAAAGCCAAGACCAGGCCTGTATGATGTGGCCAGTAACAACACAGCAGTCCATTTTTAGGTTCTGACAGTTTGTTTCTTACATAGGCACAGATGGTGGAAGGAAGAAAAGCCAAAGGTCCAGCTCCCTGTGGTCCTTGTCTCATTCCCAGGAATGATGACACTGGCATAGGAAGGGGCCGTGGCTGTAGCCTGAGCTGTGGGACCCCCATTGCTAGGCTGCAGCCCAGCAGTTACATTCTGCAGCTCTGTTCTTGCGAGGAGGGCACAAGGCCTTCAGCTCTCTCTGTTCTGGGAGGGTCACACGTCCTTCTGCCCAGACCTGGGCAGGCTGTGGCCAAGCCTGTGGCTGCGTGGATACTTGCATGGGTGGCCAGTGTGGAGTCAGTTCCTCATGGCGTCTCTCTTCTCTACCCATCCCTTGCACGTTTGAGTGAGTTCCTGTTGGCTCTCCATATGCTTTCCCATGTGGTCAGTGGTCTGTCCTACTGTCGCCCTTTGGATTGACGTTGTAACCACTGTCCCAGCTCCCTCAGGCATCAGGGCTCCTTCCACACACATCTTGTTCTCCTGGTTAGGCCTCCCCAGGGAGGGAGCCTCCCCGTGACCTGATGCATGTGTCTTGCCTGCAGAGTGTGTGAACTGGAGGAGCTGGGGGAGCTGTCCCCTTGCTGGGAGAGCCTCCGGCGCCAGATCGTCACCCAGTACCAGACCATCATCCTCACATACCAGGAGAACCTGACCGACCTCCATCAGTACAAAGGTGGGTGCCGTCCTGCCTTCTCAGGCTGCCCGTCCCCTCTACCTCCTGGCCAGAGGGCTGGAGTCTAAGGTTCCACTCTCCCCTATGACAGACACAAGTAGATTCTCATATAGATGTGAACTGTTTCCAGTATGGGTTTTCTAGATCTTAATTGAAAAGACCTATCTGTGGATTACATTGAAACGGCCTTCTCTGGTGTCATCTACCGAGACAACCGTTGTAGGGTGAAATTCAGGGGAGACATATCAGGCTGTCACTGGTTTGTGCTATTTATTGTCCTAGGTCTGATATCAATGAAGTGCCTGGAATAAGTTTTCTAGATGTCTTGGTTTAGATAGTCAGTGGTATTTTTACTGAACGTATAAAATGTCAGAGTGGAATTCTCTATTTAAGGCTCAAAAGAGAAAGTGAAGTGTGAACGCTGCGCCATTTCTTCTTGAAATGCCATTGACTTTCAGAACACTCGCAGACTGGCTTTAGAAAACTGCTCCTGACTTGTTCCTCATTTATCCCAAATGGAATGGATGTTTCGCTGTGTCCTCACCTTAGCATTTTGAATCATTCCGTTTCTCCAGGTTTTTCCTTTCTTTCCCTCCACGTACAGCAGAAATTTTTCAGGATTTTTAAGAAAATTCTGAGCTCTTTATGTGATTCTGACATAAAATGTCAATAGAAGCTGGGTGTGAGGAAGCCACATCCAGAACTGACAGGTTGGCGGTGCTTGGGTGTCCGCAGGTTCCAGTGCGTCTCTCGGAGAGGTGGCGGCGTTGACCTCAAGAAACCAAGGGACTGGCTCATGCCAGACAGCGTCCCCGCAGAGTGTGAAACCCACACCCCCTTGAGTTTTCAAGAGCGTCTCTCTCAGGCTTGTGGGGTCCCCATGCTGCTGTTCTGTGGCTCACGCTGACTCAAGCTCAGAGAACAGTCTCCTGTGGCCAAGTGCAGCCCACGACTTGTGGCCTGCGAGCCGTGTGCTGGCGGCGTACGTGTGGTTTTGTTCACTAGACAGGATGTTGCTTCTGCGCTTCCGATCGTCAGTTGATTGTGTTGACTGCTGTGTTTCGTAGGCATGTAGTTCTTCACTGAAGTTACAGATTCTGGTTACAGAAATGAGATAGATCTTTGTCATGAAACATCGTCCAATCTCACGATAAGCGTAAGCCGGGGAGCTTGTTGAAGTTTGTGTTCCAATGGACTGGAACGAGTGCGTGGTTGCTTTTGCTCATCCTGAGAAGCCTGGGGCGCGGAGCAGCCCTTCTCCTTGTTGTTCATAACTGAATTGTGCTGTTCTGGTGAGCGGCTTTCTGCTCCTGGGGTGGTAGCAGTCGTAGGCTCGGAACAGGCACTCTCTGGCCTGCGTCCCTTTGCTTTCTCTGGCGGGGCTGACACTGTGCTGCACATCTCGGAGTGGGGAGCACGGTGGTGGAAGGCATGGCCTTGGCACAACAGCCCTTTGAAGCTGTTTCTGCTCCATTCACCACCCAGCACCTCCCGTCCAGAACAGATCTCCTGGCCAGCGAAATGCCCTCCCACCATCTGGACACGAAATGTGCCCACGGGCAACTCAGAGTTTCCCAAGGCCACGGCCGGCACTTGCCTGCTCGTGGGCAGTGGCGTCCTCTGAAGGCCGTTGCTCTGCTTGGCGGCTTGTGAAAGCGTGACTCGTGTGCCGACCCTGTTTTCTCCTGTTCTGTTTCTTAGGTCCTTCCTTTAAAGCAAGCAGTCTGAAAGCGGATAAAAAATTAGAATTTGTTCCCACAAACCTACACATACAGAGGATGAGAGTTCAAGATGATGGTGGATCAGGTATCTGTTTTTCTGCCTTTCTTGTTAACTCACGTTCCGCTGCTGCTTCGCCTGGGTGCTTGGTCCCAGACTGTCCCATATCTTCTCTAGTTTTCCTGTAGGCTCAGCTGCTGGGCATCTTGGGGGAGAGACGTCCCAAGGACCTCTGACAGGTCTGAGTTAAAGAGCCCAGACCCCCTCCTCTGTCTCTCCTGCCCCCAGCTTGCCTGTGGGTTCCTGTGTCAGGAAGTTCCCCATCAGCCGATCTTCCCCAGGACAGGTGCAAACAAGTGTTTCGGAGTAGCTTCCTGCAGCCTCATGTGGCTCCACGCGGGTCAGCTAGAGCCCTTATCTGCTGAGGTGGCGGTGCTGGACTCCAGCCTGCCTTCAGGGTCCAGGGAAGCCAAAGCTGCTGGGAAACAAGCCGGAGGGGGCAGGCTCCCAATCGGATGTGCGTATCCCCGTAGCTGGCTTGTCCATAGGCCTGAGCCCAGAGTAACGGAGGGAGCTTTCTGTCATGCAGATCAGAACTATGACATCGTCACCATCGGCGCGCCAGCAGCACACTGCCAAGGCTTTAAATCAGGAGGTCTCCGCAAGAAGCTGCACAAATTTGAAGAGACGAAGAAACAGTAAGTAACCAGGGCGGGGTCTGTGCTCCTTGTCTGCCTACACGATGCTTCTCGGTTACAAAGGAAATCAAAATGTGGCTGCAGAAACAGCCGGCCATCCGATGTGCTCTCATGTGGCAGGAGGAGCTGCCTCGTGGGCCCGGTGCTGCTCTGTGTGTGTGCGTGAGCTGAGTGGGTAAGGAAGGTGAAATGAGCAGCAAGTTGCCATCCACCTTGGACGTGGTGCTTTGGGCACCTGCCCTGTGTGGACTCTGCTGGCTTGGAGTCCTTTGGAGTCCCTGCCCATCCTGTTGAACACCACAGGTCTAAAGTCTGAAACACACCGACTGATACACATTCCCAGTCCAGACAAGATTCAGGGCCTGCTCAGAGCTGCCGTCCTGAGTAAGGGATTGCCAGGTAGGGCATGGCCGAAGCAGCACACAGAGTAAGAAGAGGCCAGGCAGACCCCGGGGGGAGAGCTAAGGCAGAGAGCCGGCAGCCTGCTTGGCCTGGGCTGTGCTCTGGGACTAGAGATGCTGGGGTGACAGGTCTAAGGGTGGTCAGGGCCTGGCCCAGGAGCAGACAGGTCAGCAAGCACCATGTGAGGAAGTACGGCCTGACCCACACACGCTGAGGGTGCTGTGGAGCCGGGAACAGGCATCAGAGCAGCTCAGGATGGGGGAGTGAGAGCCGTAAATCACAGCCGTCTCGCCGGACACATGGGAGCTGTGGCTTCTTCCAGAATGGCACCCATCCGCATTTAAGTGGGTCGGGGGTGTGAGTGTACCACGTGCGGAAGGCGAGTGTAGATGACTCTGTAAGCCCCTGGACAGACCACGGAATAGAGGAAGGAGCACCAAGGGCTCTGGTTGTGGAGAATAATGCTGACTTGAGCATGTGTTTAGGCTGATGCAGAGGAGGAATGCGGATGAGGCAAGGTGGAAGAGATGGGTGTACTGGTGAGGCGGGGTTCTGTTGAAGAGAGACAGGCCCCAGACGGTTCTTCCTGCAAGGACAGAGAAGGTGGGGTTGCAGGGTGTTCGTGATGTGGGAAGGAAGGGGCTGAGGTATCAGTGGAACTGCTTCTGCAGAACGTGGTGTTCAAAGGGTCAGGCTTATCAATTAACAGTGGGACTGTTGGAGGGAAGGCAAAGCAAAGGCCCAGAGACTCCCACAAGATGGTCAGGTGGAGCTGTACTGGCTGGGATGGAGGCAGTGGACCATTTCTTGACTGCTACTGTGGCCAAGAGTCAGGTCATAACTTGGCAAGGTTGACCCTGGACCAGGATCAGGTCAGCAGCTGAGGGGCTTGGGATGCGTCTGGAGTGTCACTGACCGTGGACGAGGCTGGGTGGCCGAGCAGGGAGCAGAAAGCCGTGTGCTGTTAGAAGCCACCCCTCGGATATGTGCACAGACTACCCCAGGCCCAGGGAGCCCGGCCTCTCTGGACGTGGGAGGAGGAGAGGCAAGGGTTCGAGGGAGGATTTCAGTGTTCTCGGGGAGGCCCCCATGCAGCACCATTCATTCATTCCTGCCAAGAGCACGTCCCTGTGCGCACAACCCCGACAGCCAGACCTGCCTCGGGATTCCCTGCCTCCAGCGTTCCTTAGGGAAATAGGAAGGTGCCGAAGCTCCCCGTGCCCACCGCAGCTCTGCACAGCCAGCCAGAAAGCGTGTCTGTCGCTCCATTGCATGTTGGCGTGTGGCCGGCGTGAGCGTGCGATTGGAGATGGCATGGGGCCCTGAGGGAGGAAGCTCCTTAATTCAGTGTTCCCAGCCCGGGAAGGTCGGGATTACCTGATTACTCTGCACGTTAGGTTCAGTGCTCTTTATTCCCCAAAAGGCCTCTAATATTTTTTCATTTATATAACTTAAACTATTATTTACTCTCCTACTAACGTTTAAACCACAAGCAGAAATGGTGTTCCATTGTGGGAACTTCGCTTTGGACTTGGACGTGGGCATAAACTGTGCCCCAGTGGGCATCTCCCTGGGGCTGGAACCCAGTGAAGTGGCTTTGATAGATAAACTCCGCGGGCTTGAGGGTTGAGTTCTCCTTGTCCTTGGGGCCTCCACAAATAAGTTTGAAGCATTTTTTCAAGAAGTAACTTGGCTTTTTAAATTTTTTGGTTCTGCCTTTGGTGTTTGCTGACTAACTGCTAATATTTCATTTTGGTTCTCTTCTTTAGCAGTTTTGAGGAGTGTTGGTGAGTTTTCTGTCTGTGGAGAGAGTGTCTGTTTGGTCTCGCCCTCGTGCAGAGAAAGCCTGTGCTGCCCCCCGCCCCTCCCCCACCCCCGTGTGGTGCTTCCCCCTGTGGTGCTGCCATGGGCTCCCGGGGACACATCTCACAGACAGCTCTCCCTGCCAGCTGCAATGCTCTTTGATAATGAATAGCCAGTCTCCAGTCCGCTGTGGCTCCTTTGAGTCCTGGCATCCCGAGGAAGGACCCAGTTCTTCCCCCAGGATGAGGGAGAGCCCAGATGCTCAGTCCTCGGAGGGCTAGGATCTCACGTCAGCCCAGTGGGGGGTCCATTCCTGTTGTCTTCCCTAAGAAATCTTGAGCTTTTCCATTTTCACGTCATCCTCACCTACTAATGAGGCCAACATGCCTTTTCATGATTTTTTTAATGTATTTATTTATTTGGAAGGCAGAGTTACTGAGAGGCAGAGGCAGAGGCAGAGAGAGAAAGGGTCTTCCATCTGCTGGTTCACTCGCCAGGTGACCGTGATGGCCGGAGCTGCGCAGATCCGAAGCCAGGAGCCTGGTACTTCCTCCTGGTCTCCCACTCGGGTGCAGGGTCCAAGGACTGGGGCCATCCTCCACTGCCCTCCCGGGCCACAGCAGAGAGCTGGATCAGAAGAAGAGCAGCCAGGACTCAAATCGGTGCCCATATGGGAGGCCGGCACTGCAGGTGGCAGCTTTACCCGCTACACCACAGCGCTGGGCCCCCTTTTTCATGATTCTTGTGCAGATTTTTAAAATAGTGTTACTGGGGTGAATCTTAACCCTAGGAAAGGGGGCAACACAAGAACAAACCAGAGAACCAGATGGCAGGTGGAGCCTGGAAGAGGGACTCTGCAGAAGCCCCTCCTTCTCAGGCCCCTCCAGCCCTGGGGAAACGCTGCTGCCTTCCAGCCAGGGACCATGAGGCTCAGCGGCTGTGCCTGGGCTCTGCAGGGGCATCTGACAGCAGGAAGTCCAAGCCCCTTCCCTCCTGCCCCCCACCCCCAGCCCCAGCTGAGGCCTCTTCAGCTTTCTCCTGAGGGTCTGTCCCCTAGGGGAGCTTTAGGTGTAAGGGAGGGGGAAGGCAGCAGGGGAGGGCTGCGGCTCCCTCTGCCTCCAGGAGGGAAAACCTGCAGCTTCTACAGAAACCGCTCCCTCCCTCCTTTCCCTGCTGGGGCTGCATCGGAGGTCGCCCTTTCCCGTAGCAAGACAAGTGCCTGGATGTTGGGTCTGGGGATGGCGGAACAGGCAATGGGACAGGGGGAGCCTAGGGCCCACCCGTGGAGGCCTGCCCCCGCACTAGCTCCCCACTCAGGTGTTTTAGGTTGACCTTATTGGAAAGTTCCTAGAATGCTAACCTGCCTCCAGCTGCCTCTTGGCTGAGGAGACTGGACTTTCTGGAGCCCCCCCAGGTCTGGTTACTCCCAGGCTTGCGCCCCCTCTTCTCCTTACGCAGGACATGCCTGAGACGGGGGCAGGGTATGCACAGGGGGCAGTGCTCCTGCTGGAGACCACAGGGACTAAACCCCAGCAGACCCCAGCCTCCTGGTCCTCCACCTTGTGCGAACCCACTCCTCAGGAGTTCGTACTCTGAAGAGGGTTCCCTGCTCTTCCCATAAGTCCCCACGGGACTGTTATCCGTCAGCCACCACCACCCCTAGCCAGTACCAGAAGACACTCTTAAACTCACGTGGCCTGTTCAGTTTAGCCATGGCACTTACCCACATAGGCTCAACTCTGTGGGGTCCAGAGTGGGGGGACTGATGTGGGGCCCCAGGACCATACCTAGTGCACGGCCTCCTGGGGCTGCCCAGCACGACCTGGGCCGCTGGGGAGGTGGAGGGACCCAGAGGCCACTTCTCTGCCTGAAGACTTCCTGAGAGCACACGTGTTCCCAGGCAGCGAGAGGTCCACGCCCACCCCGCCCCCGTGTGGTGGCCCTGTGTATCCTTGCTCATCCCGAAGCAGCAGCCGTTTGGAATGCGCTCTTTCTCGCCCTGTGCGTCAGGCCCCAGTGCTATCGTTAGAACACGGCTTGTGGAAGACAGGGTTGATGGAGGGTGCTGTTTTCCTCAGCCTCGGGGGAGGTTGTGTATCTGTTGAAAGATACAACCACCCACATACACAGAAGTATTTGAACTCGAGGGATCAGGGATCTAGCAGGAGCAGATTCTGAAACGGTGTCTATAAAACGGACGGGCTGAAGCGGCAGCTATTCATTTGGAAGAGTGATTGCAGGCTGGACAGCAGCTGTGTGCGCATTGCGCTCTGCGGGGTGGCCGGTTGCACCACGTGGGCTCGGTCGTGGTCCGCTGCATGGGCTCCTGGCAAATCCATCATTTGTTCCTGTGCTGTGGGGGCTTGTGTGGCGGTGTCTCTCTCTGGGGGCTTTGGCTTTGGTGTTTGCATGTTCGCTCCCTAGTCTGGTAAGGGAAGGGGCAGCAGCAGCTTCTTGATGGCCCATCTCCAAGTTTCCCTGGAAGGGCCCAGTGCGGAGGGTTGTCAGGCCTGACCAAGGTAACCTCATCTCCAGGGACGCAATGGAGGCAGGCGCTTTCTCCCTGACCTTCCCTCCACCCCCAGAACTCAAAGGGCAGCTCTTTGAGGGAGCAGGCAGGCTTCCTCATTCTAGGAGAGGAAGGACACCCAGCACTCACAGCTTTGAACAGGAGACCTCCACGTTGGCAGCTTATACCTCTTGCTGCTTTCCTTGGCTTCCTCAGGTCTTTATTATACTGGATTGGGATCTGAGCTGAGAGACATGCAATTTATCCTCGCCATCTAGTGGGACCTTACATGCCAGCCGCACCCTACACTGCCAGGGCACATGGAGTCACTTCTCCAAAGGTTCCTGCCCACGCCTGACAGTGGCTGGGGGTAACTCTGACATTAGATCCCTCCATTCACACGCAGTTGTCTGGACAGGAGGTGGGGAGGAGGAGGAACCAGGGCGCCCAGGCCATTGAGGTGTCAGAGCCTCACCATTGGCTTGGCACGTTCTTTGCTTCCTCTTCATCCAATGGAATGGTGTTCTTCAACATAGGCAAGTCCTGGAGCAGGGTGGAGGAAGAGGAAGCCCGAGTCTCTGGGGACTTGCTGGTGTCAGCCTTGGGAAGGTGAACTGTGGGGCAGTCCTCAGGAAGTCCTGAGAAGCCAAATGAACGAACATTTTGAGGTGGTGGTTTTTGCTTGTTTCGTTTTGCTCGTGTCTTTTGGCCAAGTCCAACACCCACGGCTGTCTCTCCCTTCACAGTGAAGACCCTACCCCTTCTGGTATAAGCAGACCGCATGTCTCCTCTTAAGTAGTGCTTGTAAGTTAAGAGATGGGGTTCTTAGGTCAAGATTGTGAGTATCCTGGGTATGATTGTTCAGCATCTGCACACACACACACACACACACGACAGAATATGTACAGATATGCACACATACAGATACGAGGCTTGGGCATGTCTTAGTAGTTCAGTCTTCTCCCACATAGACCGAAAGGATCTCATTTTGCTCAGTGACAGCTAGCTAGCCCAGGAGAATATCGCTGAGTAACAGAATGCTTTACTTTAGAGTCAGTTGCGGGCCATGGTTGGGATGCTGCTGCCATTCTCACAGATTGAAGGGAGCCCTCTAAGAATCTGTTCTTACCCTTTTTAGTACTTCATCTGGCTGTCAGTCCATAATCTACATACCACAGGACATTGTCAGAGCCAAGGAGATCATCGCCCAGATCAATACCCTGAAGACCCAAGTTAGTTACTACGCAGAGCGGCTCTCCAGGGCGGCCAAGGACAGGTCTGCTACTGGCCTTGAGAGGACACTCGCCATCTTGGCAGACAAGGTAGGAGGAGCTGACTTGCTGCATGTGGGCCTGGGGCTTGGTTCCCTTGGGGGTCTGGAAGCCACTGGACAACCCAGAGTGGCCCACATGTGCCTAGAGCTATCCAGAGTGACACTGGGAAGGCCTTGAGGGGCTATCTTTAGGTGCGTTTCCCACAGAAGCCCAAGAAGGTTTGGTGATTTTCTTGTGGCCGTGGGACTGGACCAGGGACAGAGCCCGGGGCTCATGGCTCAGGTGTTGCTTCATGCAGATGTGTCTTCCACCTTGGTCTGGGTTGATGTGGTTCCAGAGCACTCTTTAGTAATGGCCCAGTCAGCACTTTGCTTCTGCCACAATTTTATTGTACTTGACTTTGAAAAAATATATTGAGCTATTATACAGACATAAGATAAAAACAATTTTTGTAAGATTTGTTTATTTATTTATTTGACAGAGTTACAGAGAAGGAGAGGTGGAGAGAGAGATTGATCAATCTTTCATCCACTGGTTTCCCCAGCCAGGGCTGGGCCAGGCCAAAGCCAGGAGCTTCATTTACCTTCGTCTACACTGTACCATGAGGGTGCAGGGACCCAAGCACTTGGGCCATCTTTCGTTACTTTCCCAGACATGTCAGCAGGGAGCTGGATTGGAAGTGGAGCATCCAGGACTTGAGCCGGCACCCATATAGGATGCTGGCACTGAAGGCAGTGGCCCCCAAAACAATGCTTAAGAGCTTATAGATAGTCAGTACTTTTAATTAGCCATACCTTGATCCTGATTAGAAAATACATAAACATGTGTGCGGTCTTCAAAAAGTACATAGTGAATGCATATAATGAAAAAAACTATGCATGGATTTTAAACATTTTGCACCAAAATAAGCTTATTTTTTAAATTCCACTTTCCAAACACTTTTTTGAAGAGCCCAGCATACTGAAGGAATGGATACATCAAATGCTTTCAGTGGGTGATTTTTTCATATTGCTCACTTTCAACACACACACACACACACACTCACAGACACACAGACTCACACACACACACACACTCTGATTGCACCTTCCCGCTCACACTTGCTTTGCTAGAGTGAGCTGCTGTCCCTCATCAGACCATGTTAAATTCTTCACCTCTGTTCACATAGTGGAAGACGGAAAACTGGGAAACAGGCCTACTGGGAAACAAAAATTTAGTTATGAACCACAGAACCCCTGAGGCATACCGAATTCTCCCTGATAGATACAGAAGTGCTGTGCTGAGAGTCCAGCTGTCCAGAGCCTAGGGCTTTGGGGATTAGATGCTGAGGTACAAAAAAATAAGGCTTTGGTGACTGAGTCAAAATAATGCCTGTCCCCTGGGGACTTGCCCCCTGAGAGCTGGAGGCTAGCCCAGGAAGTCAGCCAAGGTTAGGCCCCTGAGCCCTCATTTGGCCCTTCCCCTAGTGACAGCAGGGTCAAAGACAAGCAGTGGCTAAGGTGTGTCGGAGAGGACTGTTCAGCCTTCTCTCTTCTGCCTTGACTTTCCGGTCTTGGTGGGAAATCCTTGCTCAGATTCAACTCAGATAGGCCGTGTGGCAGTCTTTGTCCTTGGACGTCCTAGGAATGCGGCAGGGGGCACGGGAGGGCCTGTGTGCTCCTCCACGACAAGGCAGGCCTCCCCAGCCCTCGCCCACGGCCCAGCAACCCTGGCTTGTCTGTACCTACAGACCCGGCAGTTGGTTACCGTCTGCGACTGCAAGCTGCTGGCCAACTCCATCCACGGGCTGAACGCCGCGCGGCCTGACTACATTGCCTCCAAGGCCTCCCCTACCTCGACTGAGGAGGAGCAGGTGATGCTGAGGAACGACCAGGACACCCTGATGGCCAAGTGGACAGGGAGAAACAGCCGATCTTCCCTGCAGGTGGACTGGCACGAAGAGGAGTGGGTGAGTCTGCTGCCCGTGGCCCGTCGTCCCGCCGCTGAACTTGGGTTGAGAACTGTGAAGTCTCTTGCCAGTGGCTTTCCCTCTGAGATGCCAAAAGGGGTTGGCTCCTTGGTGCACAAGCTCCAAGTCCCCTTCTCAAACTGCTCCTGGCACAGCGGATGCTGGGGGGGAGGCTGCTTGCAAACCTTCGTGTGTGTATGGAGAGCAGGGTGTCTGGGGCCTGAGCCAGCCTCGGCCCTGGTGGGCGAGGAGCCCTTTGCCTGTTGAAGGCTTTCCTCCCCTCCCAGCCACCTGGGTCCTCTATGTCCCTGGCTGCTGGAGAGCAGCTGAGCCTCTCCTGCTTCCCCCAGTCTGTGGGTGTTGTCGTTTTTGGAGATGTGGGAGCTCAGGTGTTGGGGCAGCGGGTGAGGATTTTGGAGCCACTGCCCCAGCATTGCATCACTTTAGTGTCCCTCACAGAGTTCACCCTGAGAGCGGGATCTGTGTCTCTTGGGGGAGTGACATGGAACAACTCATCATTTGTTGGGACTATGACTTAGAGGCCTTATCCAGTGAATTCCCGAGTCACTAAACCCACAGCAAAGCGGTTCTCTAGCTCTGGTATCCCAGTCGGCGTGGATTTCTTCCTCTTCCCTCCTTGTGCCAACTGATCAGTTGTTTCCATGGGAAGGAGACTTCAGTCCTCTGTGTGTAGTGGTTGTGGGAAGTCTGGAGTGGAGGGAGGAGGGGATGAGACCAGCTCACTGGTCCTGGGCCCTTTTTGGCAGCACTCGAAGGCTGTCTGTCTTCCGTGAGAGTTGCCAGCAGACAGAACCCAAACTTTCTGAACAATGACCATAGCACATTGACTCACCAACTTAAATGGGGGGTTGGAAACGATCTTGCTATTTCTGTCTTTGGCTGTTTTCAAGAGCATGGTGATCCAGGGTGGGAGTCAGTGGAGGGTCGTTGGTCTTTCTGTAATATTGACCCCGCTGGGAGAGCTGACCCAAATGGGCCCTTTTGGTTTGGAAGGAGAAGGTGTGGCTGAACGTGGACAAGAGCCTGGAGTGCATCATCCAGCGAGTGGACAAGCTGCTGCAGAAGGAGCGTCTGCACGGCGAGGGCTGTGAGGATCTCTTGCCCTGCACAGGCGGCTCCACCAGCAAGAAAGGTAACCGGAACAGCCGTGCCTACTGGATCCGACCAGAGGACCCCTTCTGCGATGCCCCCTCCTCCATGCCTGCTGCATGCCATCCTCACTCAACCACACGTGCGTATGCATCCATGCGTCCCACGCACCACCCCTCCTCATGCCGCATCGCTTCTGTTGGTCTGTGTCTCTGACTCTGTGCCCTCCTCCCCCATGCAGACTGCAGGGCTGTCGGGTGAAGCAGGGGTGTCCCAGCGCATGCAGCAGCAAGGCAGCAAGGGCAGAGGCCCAGTGGTCTTTCCATGCAGCTGGAGCCTGGGTGTGAATCCATGTCTCTGCTGAAGCAAAAACTCAGGGTCCTCCTTGGGTCACATTGTCATGGAAGTAAGGGTCGGGCTCCTGGATCGTCCAGGTTTGTAAGCCAACCCGTGGACCTGAAGGAAGCCAGGATGCAGATGCCTTTTGATGAGGTTGCTCATGGCATTAGAACTAGTGCATGAAGGAAAAGGTGAGTTGTGCATGGACGCTACTGGAGGGACAGTTGCAGGCCTGTGGACCTGCCTAAAGGCTGGTTGTCATTGGCTGGGCAGAAGCATTTGGCTAAGGTACTTGGTAACCCAGCAAGTTAGTGGACTCCCCCACCCCACCACGCTGGGCCTCTGGCGAGCTGAGTTAGGTTCACCTGTGCAGCCATCCTTTAGGAGGTCATCAGTGGATAAGAAGCAGCGTAATTCAGACACAGTCTTCTGTCTGCAGAGACCTGGGGCATGCCCAGAGACTGCCCCGTGGCTAGCTTCACATTGAGGGGACACGTGTCTCTGCACAAGTCGATCCTTGGTCCCTGCACTCAGTGCCTCCTGCCTTTTCCCTAAGAGCTGGCGAGGGTCGTGAGCCAGGCAGCTGAGACCCGGCTGCAGGGCCAGCTTCTGCCTCCTCTCTGCTCTCCTGTGGGAGTTTTAAGTCATAGCCAGTAATAGCTAGATATTCCAAGGGTTGGGCTCCTTACAACAGAGGCTTTTAAGTTCTGAGTTGGGCAACTTCCGTTCAAGGCAGCATCCTACTCCTCTGTCAGAGCCTGGCGGTAAATCTCCCTTTATGAGATGCCCTTTGCCCTCTCATCTGCCTGCAGTCTGTTTCCAGGGCACCGTCTCCTCCGAGCCTCTGGTTCAACAGTGCTCACATCATCCACTTTTTCATCTGCGGGGAATTACAGTTTATCTCCCAAACCTGTGATCTCATGGAGCTATTTTGTCTGTCTCTATTTGTGTTTTCTTTTTTTTTTTATGTAAATTGTTGTTTTAAAAAAATTTCTGAAAGTTAATTACTTATTTCTCTGTAATGTTACTTTATAATTTTATTTATTTTTTCCTGCAGATATATTGACTTTTTAAAATGCAGGAGCTAGTTTAATCAGACGTGCTTCTCATCCATAATTTAAATGTTTTTGCCCGCCCTTCAGGTACATGGCTGAACTATAGGCAAGTTCAGTTTTAAAGTTATTCAAGTGGGCATTTGTTTGTGTCATGTAGGGTTTGACTTGCAGGTGTGTGTGCCATCGACATCAGCTCTGTTGTCATAACGGGGAGTGAAGCATACCTTTGAGAGAGCCTACCTCAGTGGTCGAAGGAGCCTGTGAAACCAAATACCACTCACTTACCTCTCCATGACTCCTAGACGCGTACCTCACGTAACATAGTTAGCAGTGCAGCTGGTGAGCCGTTCAGACGCCCGTGTCGGCAGGAGGCTTAGGAAGGACCAGACAGTGAGCTGCTTCCAGAAGTTCGTAAAACGACAGAAGTGAAAGACACGTGCATTTCCACAAACTTTGTGAGGATGCCAAATTTATTTTACAAGGGCACTTCAAAAACTTAGTGGGAAATGGAATTGAAAGATATGTTTATTTTGAAAATCTTTGAAATCCATCCATACATATGCAGATCTTCAAAGAAGTTCATGGAAAATCCATATTGATGAAAAACACTATGCATGGATTTCAATTTTTTTTTTTTGCACCAAAATACACTTATCTTCTAATTACATTTCCCATGAGCTTTTTGAAAAGTCTTTGTGTTTTGGTGACTAGTTTGTCTGCAGTGCCAGACCTTGTTTTTATGCTGCTGCAACTTATGGGAGCAGTGGTTTTGACTGAGAGGGAGTAGCTTGTGTTTACTGCAATGTATTTATTATATGAGAACAACTCTGCACCCTTTTGAAAGACATCAGCTCTTTTCATTGCAATCCTCTAGCCATCTGGGGCCCTTGGTTTTTCCTGTTTGACCAAGAAGCTACCCTGCCGCTCAGCTCATCTTCTGCAGAACTAATCAGAACACTTGCCTAGTAGGCAGGGTCTAGCCAGGGCCAGGGCTCTGGCTGGGAGAGGGGCGAGGAAGCCCACTAACAAGTCCCTGCCAGCTGGGACCATGGGCTCCTCAAGCTCTCTCTCCTCTTTATTTCCCCACAAGTGCTGCACGCCCGTCCTGTACCCGCCACCTGCCCAGGAGCACCCCCTTGGCCCTCGGAGGATTGGGTGGCCTCCGTTGCCTTCCCTGTGTACTCTGTCTTGTTCTCAGACCTACAGAGTCATTCAGACCTCAGACCAAGTTTGTCTTAACCTGGGGTGTCCAGATGCACCCCAGGCTTAGGCACCCCTGAGATGATGTGCTAAAATTTGGATATACATGGAAAGAAAGTTCACAGTGGTCATTAAGTCTCAAGGGACTCTGTCACTTTAGATAAGTGACAAGCCACTGGTTCAGGAGTCCCAGTGGATGACAACTCCGCCCCCCAACACACACACACATACACACAGACTCTTGGATTGGAAGATGAATTTGGCTGACTGGGCTTAGTCCCTAATGCCTTCCGGGGAACCAGCTGTTTGGGATCACCACAGAAGCTCCTAAAACAGGCCCCTAGGGCCTATTCCCTCATTCCCGAACCTGGAATCCTGCAGCAGGGCTATGGGGAAGCAACAATCCATATTCTTCCCCAAGTCCTGGGGCAGATCTCATTGGCCACACAGATGTTGAAGAATCACTATTCAGCATCACTGCACACCACCATGGCTCTCTGTGTGAGCTAGACGGTCTCCGGATATTGGGGTTCTGGCAGAGGCCGGGCTTGTCAGCCTACAGGGCCTTTATATTTTCTATCCCCATGCCATTCCAAGGTGATTAGAGGGGAAGGGCCCCTTGCCACCCCACTGCTTGACAAACAGTCAAAGTCTTCATGGGCTGCCCCTTTGGGACACTCACGTCCTGCTTTGAGTCCAGGCTACTTTACTTCCAGTCCAGCTTCCTGCTGATGTGCACCTTGAGAGACAGCAAGTGATGACTTGAATGCTTGAGTCTCTGCCATTCATATAGGAATCCTCGATTTAGTTACTGGCTCCTGATTACAGCCTGGCCCAGCCTTGGCTATTGCAGGGATTTGGGGAGTGAACCAGCAGATGGAAAAATCTTTGTCTCTCGGCTTTTCAAATAAAATAAAAATAATTTTTTTAAGTTTAAAAAAATCATAAAAGTTCTGGCTGTTTTGGGAGCCCTGAAACCACCTTGTTTCAATATCCTGAAGACGTTCTTGGGCTAGGAGGTGCAGACATAAAGGAAGAGTAAACTTCCGCTCCAGTGCTGCCTTCAGATGTGTGTTCTCTAAGATGGCACACTAGAGCCTGTAAGGGAAGTGTAACTGGAATGAGCATGTCCCCTGTGACTCAGCGTAGGTGAACTGGCTCTGCAAGGACCGGAAGGGACCTTCTCCCTGGAAACTTCCCAGAGCACAAAATTTTTGCGTTTGGTTTAAGTCTTCAAGATTGCATGGAGAGTTTTTGGTATATTGGTTTCATTGCTGGGTCTTGATAACAATATCTGTAGACCTCAGCGTTGACCTTGAGCCTAGGCTTTCCCAATGAATCAGGGCGGTGGGCTCTGTTGGAAGCGGTGGTACTCAATTTGCTGGTCAGTCTCTCTCATCGCAAGTTTGCTTCCAGATGTTGGGTGTCCACATGGGCTGTGCCGTTACAATGTGACTGATGTGGCACGTATCACATTGTGATACGGTAGTTCACGTGTCCTGAAGAGCATTGTATGTTGAAGTATTAGCAACACAAATGCTGATGCTGGCGAGTCCAGTGTTGTCACCTCTGAGAAGGCTCGGCTGCCTTGGAGCAGCGCGAGTGCCTTCCTGAAACTTCTAGGGGAAGAGGCAGACCCACCCCAGACCTCTTCTCTGTGGTTTGGCCGCCTGGCTGCAGGCTGGCTGCCTACGCAGCTGCTCTAAGATTGAGTTGCTTGTGTTTGAACTGCTGCTGCTCCTTAATCATCCGTGTTACCCTCCATTTCTGTGCAGATTGCAGCCCCCCTCCTGAAGAGTCCAGCCCAGGTACGTGGTTTCCGTTCAAGGCTCCCGCCGGTGTCTTTAATGTTCAGGTAGCGTGTGAAGCTGAATTACCTAAAGATGGTCGTATGCTCCTAGAGTCGGGGAAATATCTTTTCACAGTGAGGCGTATGCAACTTTTCATAGCCTTGGTAAGGGACCAGTTGAGCTGAGGGAACGTAGCCAGAAACTACCACATGCATTTTCTTTACTTTTATACCCCCAAGACCTTCCCAGATGATTAGTATGCGTGAGTGCATTGGGCGTCTTGAAGCAGGTGGCCTGCCTTAGAGAGATACACGTTTGGAAATGATGCTTCCTGTGCGATCACTTGACCTTGGGAGCATTCCTCTGAGCACGCAGTCATAGGTGTCCACCCAAATGCTGTGACGTTTGTCATCATGCAGTGTCCTCTCTTCTGGGCCTGAGTGCAGCTTTAGAATTCTTATCAGACGGTGCTCTGCGCCTCGGTCGGAGTTAGTGCTAGAATCTCTTTGCACATTTGCGTGTAGAAGCCAATGTTTATATTTCTAGTTCAAGGATTGGCAAACTACAGCTGGGGGCTAAATCCTCTCCACAGACTGCTCTTGTAAATAATGTTTCTTGCCCACCCGCTCCTGCTGGCTGCTTTTGTGTGGCAGCATCAGATTGCAACAGACACCCTATGAGTTTTATTGCCTAAAGTATTTACCATCCAGTCCTTTACAGAAGTATGCGACCCCCGATCTAGTTCACTTGGAGCTTCTGGAGTTGGCTTGTGGTTTTCCCACAGTGAGCATGAGCCCCCCACAAATAATATGGTTGGTTTGCTTCTTTCTTACACTCCAAAAATCAACTACATGATCAACTCAAAGGTTGCATACTTCTGGCTGGATATAAAGATAGGATGGCATGTTCTCTCTCTGTCTACAGTGTCGCGACCCAAGGATCCAGCCATGGTGGGATCTGTTCCCCAGTCTGTTCTGTGGGTTGTCAGTGGATCCTCTCTGCTCTCACAGCACCATGGATCAGCACACTGTCTGAAGTTAGCCTACCCTTGGGCTAGTCCGATCAGGCACATCATTGCCTCCCTGTTTACTTCCACCCGTTTTACAGTTGGGCTTTGCCCAAAAGTCGGTGTAGCTTGAGAGGGCCTTAGCCCCCAGCCTCCTCAACCCTTAAGTCACTGAGGCCTCTGTGGGTACACAGCCAGTTAACTTCAGTCTCTTCCTCCCTGTTAGCTTCCTTGGACCCAGGCCTTATCTTCCCCTGCTATTTCTGTGGCTGGGCTTCTGGTCTCCCCAGCTTACCTCCACGTGAGCCAGTGCCTCCAAACCGAGTTGTCTCCTGATACTCAGTGGTGCTGAAGTATGGAATCATACCCAGCAGTGAGCACCAGGAGAAGGGGGGTGACCTGTGAGCCTGCCCCCCAGAAGACTTGGGGTCTCCTGAAGTCTGAAGAACTAATAGGCAGCACACAGACAGTGCTGATTGGTAAAACTCTTTGTTTTGTGCCAGCTGCATCATTGCCAGGAGTGCTGGTGGCTTTTCCATAGTTGATATTAAATGGACTCAAATGGTCCCCTGCCAGAGGTTCCTTTAGCTTTTCTGTAGACTGTGTTCAATCTGCATTAAAAGACACACTCATATAAATACACATACCGTCTCTCTCGCCCTCCCCTACTAATGAAAAAAAGGGGGGTGGGCAGACATGGCCCATGGATTGACTACCAGTCAGCAGTGTCACAGTTAGCTAGGGGCTGAGGGGAGTGGGCACCACTGCTCAGCGGTGGCCAGGACCACACTCACATTTTCCACTTCTCAGTCCAGTGTTCGTTCTGGCCACGACTGGCTCATTAAGACCTCGCTGCTTAGACTTTCTAAATTTAAGCCTGCCTTTTTCCATTACAGATGTAAATCCTCGTCCGCATACAGTGTGCCCTTGCACTCAGTTAGGCCTTTTCCAGCTTGTGAACTGTTCTGTGCGCTTAACAACCTGCAATAACCAAACACAGCATGTAGGGATGGTCTTGCGTGTGGGCCAAGTAGTTCTCTAAGTTTGTCTCTCCACAAAGTGCTGGCAATACAGTTTGAGATGGCAGGGCCAAGTCTCCTCCCTAACTTTTAGATTCTGCTTATTGAAGACAGAGCCTCTCCCCGCCTCCCCAAGCTGGGGAGTGGCATGATCTGGGTCATTCCATGGCTCACACCCCCATCCCAAGAGGACCCGTGCTCCCCGACTCACTGCCTCACCCCATGTTTGGTGCGGCGAGCTTGCCCAGTGGTCATGGGCAAGTGCCCATTTCTGGGCTTGGTGACCTGGCCAGAAAACTTCAGACAGAAAATAATAACTGATGAGGGCATGTCGTCTCTTTGAAAGGCCTTCCCGTCAGCCTGTTTTTCTCCCGCAAGGTTCTATTTTTAAAAAGTTGCCTTGGTACAAGATCAAAGTTCCCTTATGTTCCTAAAAGAAAACTCACACTAGAAATGGATGCACTAGGCAGGAAGGTGAGGGAGTGGGAAGGAAATACACGTCCAGTGAGGGGACACTATCCCAAGAGCTGGAAATGTGGTAGTACGTGGCATGGTCTTTCCTCCAGACTGTCAAAGGCTAGGTCCAGGTGGAGTGCGTTCCTGGCTGCAGAAAGACGGGGTCTTAGTCTTTGGTCCTGGATCAAGACAAGTGAGGTGACAGACCCTTTTTCTGAGTGTCTTTCTCTCCCTGGAAGGAGGAGCCTGGTGCTGGAGGATTAGAACGTGGTGCCAGTTCTAGCCAGAGCATGGACCAAGTAGGCTTGAAGCATGCAGCGGGGTAGGGAGTAGTGGGGAGGTGGTACAGTGGTTAGGGGACAGGTGCCCTGCCAAGTCTGCAGAACCTGTATATACAATCTTTTTTTCTAAATGTAACGATCCCTTCGCTCGTGCCCAGGTGAATGGAGTGAGGCCCTCTACCCCCTGCTGACCACCCTCACAGACTGCGTGGCCATGATGAGTGACAAGGCCAAGAAGGCAATGGTCTTCCTCCTCATGCAAGATGGCGCCCCCACCATAGCCGCGTACCTGAGCCTGCAGTACCGCCGCGATGTGGTCTTCTGCCAGACCGTAAGCCCCAGGAGGGCCGGAGGGAGGCAGCGGGCACCACGCGTGGGAACCCCTTCCCTCTCCCTTCACTTATGAACAACCCCAGGTGGTCATGTCTTCTCCTGCCTGTTGCTTATAAGTTGGTTTGACAGAAAGATCTAGATTTCAGCTCAGGGAGGACACCTGCTCCCTCGGTATATCTGTGTTTCTTCCCCAAGATCTGGCACTGACAGGCTGTGCGGGCTGGGCACTAGGGGCAGGGGTACACAGGCTGCACAGGCCTCTTAGCTGCCTCGTGTGGGTTCTCTGCAGAGGAGCTCGGTGAGGGCAACCAGGGGGTTTGTCAGCACAATCTGTTTCCTCATCTCTGAAGCGGCAGGTGCCTTGGTCCGTGGTTTGGTGCAGAACTCTGTGCTGATGGCTTCTCTTATCTTTCAGAGGAGAGTTGGAATGAGAGTCCCAGCTTCCTAGCTGCCCGTAGTCAAGTCAGTAAAGTGAACAGCGAGACAGGTTCGGGCTGGGTCTCTGCAGGTCCCCACCCATTGCAGGGCGGCCTGTTGAGCCCCCAGAAAACCTCCCTCTGAGGAACCTTTGCCGGACCAGGTTCTCTCTCACTTCTGCTCTTCAGTGTTACTCCGTCAGTGTCCACCCAGAACTGGTATGGCTCTGTGGGGAGTTAATGGTGGGCTCTTGGAAGGTTCCAGAAAAGGAGTTGTGTCAGGCAGGCCAGAGGCTGAGCCAAAACCAATCCTACTTTTGGGATGGACAGGAACAGCGAAAGCCCAGCACAGTATATCTCTCCCTGGCCTCTGCCAGGGCGCCCGCTCCGCCCAGGCTCCCCGAGGATCAGCAGAGGCTGCCGATGCCCCTTTGAGCATTGCAGGCCAGGGGACTCGGGGCCTGGGGCTCACGGGAGCCGACTGGTGTTGGGAGCGGGTGTCTGTCCCTGCAGCCATTCTCGCTGTGTCCCCCAGCTGACCGCCCTCATCTGCGGCTTCATCATCAAGCTGAGGAACTGCCTGCACGATGACGGCTTCCTGCGGCAGCTCTACACCATCGGGCTGCTGGCCCAGTTCGAGAGCCTGCTGAGCACCTACGGTGAGAGGCCCGCGGGGCCTGGGCTCAGGAGCAGCGGTTCCCCGTGACTTCCAGCCTTTCCTACGGGCTGTGTTTAGCGTGCTGATTTAAGTGAATACTGACGTCCCCAGAATGCATAGCAAAGCACCAAGCAGAAGTCCCGTCCGGTCGCCACAGCCCCCTCAGTGGTTTGGTTATTTTGCTCTTGACAATTTTTCTGGTTGAGGTGGGCAGTAATTCTTTAACCAGCAGCTTCCCGCCGGGCCAGCACTGTTTCTCTTCAGACCCTCTTAAGCCAGCACTGCAGGGATGCCTGTGCACAGGGGGTGCGTGTGTGGAGCCTTTGCTGTGACCACTAACATCAGAGTCACTGGGTCAAAGGGTCAGAATATTTTTAAATTTACTAGCTAATTCCAAGTCGCCTTCCAAAATAAGGCTTTCTTCTCCCTAGCCTTGTATTCTGTTGCTTCTGAGAAGATAATAGACAGTTTCCCCCAACCCCTCTTTTTGGGATATTTTTTCATCCTTTTTTGTGGGGGGAGGTAAGATTATGTATTGGGGCCAGTGCTGTGGTGTAGCGGTTAAGGCCTCCACCTGCAATGCCAGCATCCCATATGGGCACCAGTTCGAGTCTCAGCTGCCCCGCTTCTGATCCAGTTCTCTGCTGTGGCCTGGGGAAGCAGTGGAAGATGGCCCAAGTCCTTGGGCCCCTACACCTGTGTAGGAGACCCGGAAGAAGCTCCTGGCTCCTGGCTTTGGATCGACACAGCCCTGGCTGTTGTGGCCATCTGGTGAGTGAACCAGTAGGTGGAAGACCTCTTTCTCTCTCTCTGCCTCTGCCTCTCTGTAACTCTGACTTTCAGGTAAAACAAATAAAATATTAAAAAAAAAGATTTATTTATTTATTTGAAAGTCAGAGATAGAGAGGAAGAGACAGAGAGACAGAGCTCTTCCATCCGCTGGTTCAGTCCCTATATGGCCACAATGGCCAGGGCTGGGCCAGGATGAAGCCAGAAGCCAGGAGCTTCTTCCAGGTCTCTCACGTGAGTGGCAGGGGCCCACGTACTTGGGCCACCTTCCGCTGGTTTTCCAGGGAGCTGGATTGGAAGTGAAGCAGCTGGGACACGAACCAACTCCCATGTGGGATGCCAGCGTTGCAGGTGGCAACTTCACCCACTACACCACAACACCAGCCCCTATTTGTTCTGGCGCTCTAGTAGATACCAATCCCTGTTTTGTGGAGAGATCTGGCCATAAGAATGCCTCTCTCCATTTTTAAAGAGCCGGCCCTGCCTGGTGAGGTCCCTGCATTTCTGTCTCCCTCCCCCACAGTCCTGACCAGGAAAGGGGGGCAGGGCGAGCCCCCACAGGCACACCTGTAGCATGGCACGGGAGGTCAGTCGTAGTTTACTCACAGAGGGTGAGGTGTAGGGGACGGGGCTCAGACAGGCCCTCCCGTCCACACCTCACCCCTTGTCACCCTTGTCTGCACCCTCCCTGAGGCTGTGCCCAGCCTGGGTAGAGCGGCACGGCCTCTAACAGCCTCTTCCCTTCTCTGCACCCAGGCGAGGAGCTGGCGATGCTGGAGGACATGAGCCTGGGGATCATGGACCTGAGAAACGTGACCTTTAAAGTCACACAGGCCACCTCTCACGCCCCCACAGACATGCTGCCTGTCATCACGGGAAATCGGTAGAGTGCTTACTTAGAATTCTCTGAGCCGCAGCGGTGTCTTCCGCGTGTGTGTCTCTCCTGGGAGGCCTTCTCCCTTTATGAAGTGTGGGTTCTGTTCAGTTAACTTCACCCCCCTGAGGTCTGTCCCTGGCGGCTCGGGTATCCCCACGGTGGAGGGCCGCCTTGGCTCTCCTGCTGGCCGCGCAGGCGGCCTGAACCTCACCCTGCTCGTCATCTCTCCCCCTCCCCCAGCGACGGGTTCAACGTGCGGATCCCACTGCCAGGCCCGCTGTTCGACGCGCTGCCCCGGGAGATCCAGAGCGGCATGCTGCTGCGCGTGCAGCCCGTGCTCTTCAACGTGGGCATCAACGAGCAGCAGACGCTGGCCGAGAGGTGCGTGCCGGGCCGCCGCGGGCGTGGCGCGGGAACGGGCTCTCTGCACCCTCCCCTTCCTGCAGCCACGTCTTTCAGCACAGGGACGTGGCACCACCGTTGGTGTTGGAGACAACAGAGGCAGCCTGGGTGCGGCCTCTGTCCTCAGAGACTCGGCTGGTGGCGGGCAGAGAGAGGCAGGAGCAGTGATGATGAATGCAGGGATCTGGGTGCTGAGTGGGGCGTCCGCTGGGGTCTAGGAGGGTCCGTGAAGGCGTGCTGGAGGGGTGATGGCTGAAGTGGATTTTGTCAGGAGTCAGGTGAGGAGGTGGAGGAGAGCCTGGATGTCCTAGACCAAGAAGACTGAGCCAAGGCCTGGCAGAGAGAACCAGCAGTGGGGCCAGGACTCCGGGTGCCAGGGAGGGGCAGGCGTGTGGAGGGGGGCCCAGGGTGGTGTCTTGGTCCTAGAAGCTTGTGTCTCGTAAACTGCCACCCAATGGAAAGGAGTCACATGTACCCTCTGGCCTGTGCGTGTGTGTGTGTGTGTGTTTGTGTGTGTGTGTGATGGGGGCAGTTGTATGTAGTCTGTCAAGACCCACGCTAGTTAATGAAAATCTTCCCTGTGGTATCATTTACATTCATGTGATATTTATGCTGTAATGTAAAAAAACAACCTTCAAGCACGTGCTGTTAAGGCAGTTGGGGCTGCAGGATGAATGCCCATCTCAGTGGGCATTGGCCCCAGGCGTGGGGTGCGGCTGCTGGGAGGTGTGGAAGGATGCCAGTGGGCAGGACACCATCGGGCTCACACTCTGAGTAGAAGATTTTGCTGAGCACGCGTGGAAGCTGGGAGGGGCACACGTGTGGAGGAGGTTACTGGAAAGAGGCCAGGCCAGAGGCAGTGCCCTGGATCAGGGCAGAGAGAAGGCACAGACCAGATGGAGAGTGGACCAGACAGGCCTAGCCCCTGGATGGGGCCAGTGAGTGGAGTGCAAGGACCAGGAGGCCCTGTCCCAAGTAGAGGCTGAGTGGGGCTTGGCTTGAGGGTGCCAGCCCGGGAAGCAGAGCTCCCTGCAGGGAGTGTGGGCAGGTCCCCTCCTGTAGGGTGGTGTCCTGTGCCCCGCAGCTGTCGGCCCCCAGGGTTGCAGCAGGGCAGGCTGCCGGGAGCACGGCAGGTGGGGAGGACTCGGAGAGAGCGGGCTCCTGGCTTTGCCGTTCGTTTGCGCCAAGCACGTTGGTGAGCTGGGGGCGCAGTCTGGTGGGAAGGTAGGCCGTGGGCCTGGGGTCGGGGATGGCCACGAGGGAGCAGATGCCTGGTGGAAGAGCCATCGTGAGCCCCAGGAGGCAGTTGGCCCTTTGAAGGGTGTCGTGAGACCAGAAAGAGGCCAGCATCAGGGAGGTCGCTCAGCAGGGAGGCGGGGCTAGGCTGTGGACCCAGGCCTTGGACTTGACCTTCCCCAAAGGTGGCATCCACTGCCTCTTCCCTCAGGCAGGCAGCACGTCCTTTCAGCGTGTGGGACTTACACAGGTGACCCTGCATTACAGGAAACCCGCCAGGGTCCCAGGGCAGCCCAGAGGGACAGCCAGCCAGCTGTGTTCACTGGACAGACAGCAACTTTAGATTCGAGTCTGGGATTGTGTCCCTGCTCCTCAGCCGTGCCCCACTGGCGACCCCTTTCCCAAGGACCTCTGAGACGAGGGTGCAAGACTGAGCCTGGCAGCTGGGAGACAGGTTCTTGTGCCAGATAAGATGGGCCTTTCAGCCTCCGGATCTGGTACGGGTCACCTTCCGATCAGCTCTCAGGCACATCTGTGACAAGTCACTCATGGTTCCTGCCACTGAAACCTATTTAAAGTGGTCACCAGCGTGGTAGGACTGGCTTTACGCTCTGGAGAAGGAAGGCGGCCTGGCATTCAGACACGCACAGGCGTCTGAGGGAGTCAGCACAGGCAGCCTCGGTGCACCTGCGTGTGTGGTAGAATGGGTCACGAGCCAGCTCACGGCGTCCCCTTATAACCTCCCAAGGTTTGGGGACACGTCTTTGCAAGAAGTCATCAACGTGGAGAGTCTGGTGCGATTGAATTCCTACTTCGAGCAGTTTAAGGAGGTTTTGCCCGAGGACTGTAAGTACCCCTTCACGCACGGTGGGTGCCCCTGCTCGTCTCCCCATCCCCTTGGCTGTCTCAGCTCAGGCTGTTGCTGACCGTCCGTACGCTGCCCAGCTTGCCCTGCCTCTGTCCGTGTGCTGTCCCACGTGCACACGCAGCAGCCCCTTCAACCATTCTGACTCTGCCAGCTTGCGTCCCACCCACAGAAGTTTCTGTCACAGTTGCCTCTCTCTGTGGTCGATTCTCTTCTAACCCTCGTGACGTGGGGTCCCCACCCCCGCCCCAGTCACTGACGTTCACTGACACCTGCAGTGGCAGGTGTCATGCACCTGCTCGTAGGGCCTGAGGGATCCTGGAGGCAGGACCCCCCCTCGGCCCAGGAGAAGATGCAGGCGGGATGGTCCCCGGCCTGGCACCCCCTGGAGGCGATAGACAGGCACAGCAGTCCTCTCTGCTGGCAGAAAATTCTGCAAATGCAGGGCTCGAGGAGGAACACAGGACAGCCTTTACGTGTGGAGTTGTCTCCCACGTTCGTCCCGGGCACCTGCTCTGTGCAGAGCTTATGGTAACAGGGCTCAGTGGGGAAGCAGACCTAGGCACTCAGTGAGTTTCAAGAGTGTGTGCTGCTCCCTGGGGAGGCACTGCGCTAGCCACTGGGGGGCGCCACTCAGGGATGAAGGAGACACAGTCTCACCCTGGAATTAAGCTAATGCCCTCTAAAGGGGGTTCCCAAAGAGGGAAGGCAAGGAGGATTGGGAAGACGGGCACAGGCTTCCTTTGTGCTGGATGGTGGGGTAGATCCGAGAATGGAGGAATGTGCTCAACAGTAGTGCTGGGAGCGTTTCCAGGTCACTGCTGAGCCAGGCGCCGGGCTTCCTGCTCTGCACGCATCGCCATTCTGAATCGCACGAGAGCCCTGCGAGGCTGGCGTTAGCATGTCTGTCCCGATGCAGAAAGGGCTTGCCTGGCCCTGAGGCTGTGTGCTGGGACATGATCCTGAGCCATCCTGTTAGGAGACACTGCCGAGGGGGCCTCAAGGCCAGGCTGAGGAGTTTGTGTTGGTTTAGCAGTGTGCAGAAGGGGACCAGTGTGGAAAGAACTGGCAAGAACTTGGTTGGATTGGATGAGGGACACAGCCCCTGGCAGACTGGGTCAGGCTATGGAGCACCAGCAGAGGGGTTCCGTCCTCCTTGCCCTGATGGTGGTGCTGACGGTGGGTGTGGAGGGGAGGGAGAAGATGCAGAGTCAGCTCTCAGTGGCTGCTTGAAGCTAATGCTGGGAGCCAGTGAGAGATGACGGCCTGGTGCTAGGCGAGGCTCACGGAGCTGGCAACACAGGAGTGATGGCCCCCTGAGGACAGAAGCGTGGGATGGGGCACGGCAGGCACTGTGCAGCCCCTGCAGAGTCTGTGACGTGAGCAGATGGCCTGGGAAAAGTGCAGACGTGAGGCCCTGCGTGGAGCCATCTGGTGGCTCAGCTCGCTGAGCGACAGAGCAGAAGAGGCCAAGGACAAAGCGTGGAGATGGCCCTGTGCTCCAGGGGTTGATCAGGGGCCAGTGAGGGGGCAGTGGGCCAGCCCGAGGCAGAGCAGGAGTGGAGGGGGCCTGGACGTGCTGGCCAGCCTCTGGGCTGGTGGACAAGGAGTCCCTGGTGAGCTCTTGGGACAGTCCCAGGGCAGGGAGTGAGAGGCTGGGGATCCAGTGGGCAATGAAGTGATGCTGCCTTGGGGTGGTCCATGCCATCCCAAAGGTTGTCAGAGGCTTGTGGTTGGGGTGGTTGGAACCTCCCTGCTGCTAAGTGGGTGATGTCAGCACACATAAAGCCTGAAGAAGCTGGAGAAAACAAGGCCAGAAGATACAGGAGCAGGATAGCTACAAGCCCAGGCCCAGGAGTGGCCAGGCCATCGTGCCCTGACAGGCGGGAAGAGGGAGAGGGAGGTAAAGGGTGAGCAAATACTTGGAGGTTGGCTCAGGTGGCTTCAGTCTCCCCAGTAAACAGGAGTTCTAGTGAACACAGGGAGAAGAGTGCAGACCTGGGGTCGGGGTGGGGGAGACTTGGCTCAGGTGCAACGGGAGCCATTGAGGCAGTAGCACTCAGCTCTGGCTGCCCTGAGTGTGAGGCCTGGACAAACACTCGGAGCCTGGGCCCCACACGAGCTTGGTGGGCGGGGCCTGGGTCTCAGAAACTCCTGGAGAGCCCCGTTTGCAGTCAGCGTCAGAAGCCCTGCCATCGGAGCTGAGTACCAGAAAGCTTTGAGGACTCAGCTGAAGGCCATCAGCGGCACTAGTACACGGGCCCCCAGATACGGGGGTGTTCTTACATTCTTCAGCAGTGAGTGCAGTTGGAGGCAACCTCGCCCCACGCCAGACAACGTCTCCCCACTGAGTGGGAGTTATCTAATCAGCGCGCTGTTCGCACACCCGCTTGGCAGATGTGGACATGAGGCAAGGAGGGCGGGCTACCCCGTGAGCCCCCTACACCTGCTGGTCTGGGAGGCTGAGGACATGGAGCCCACTTGGCTGAATCCCTCCAGAGCCTGCCTAGGTCATCAGTGGGCAGGTTTTCAAGGTTGGGGGCAAAGCTGGGTGGTCCAGTCATGCCATCTCCCCTGGAGAGAGAAGGCCCCTGCCCACCTTAGCTCCCCTCCTGTGCACTCCCACCGTCTCCTCCTCCTTTGAGCCCCTCCCAGGCAGGAGCCTTCTGTGTTCTCTGTTGCTGCCCCATCCCCTGACCAGTGCGGGACTGGACGGACACAGCGGGAACATGGGGTCATCAGCACAGGACCCTGCGTGCACCAGGGTGAGACAGGTGACGGAAACCGGCTGTGTGGCCAGTCCCACAGCGCCACGCACTTGGTTCTGATGTAGGATTCAGACACTGGCTGATTGCCTCAGCCGCGACCTTGAGGCCCTTCTCTTTGTCTTTGGTAACCCCAGTCTGTGCAGATCCCCACACCTTCAGGAGTGGTTGCTTTTCCTGTGGTTTTTATCCCAGATTTTCGAGGAGAGATGATCTGACAGACGTGTGGGTTCAGGAAGCCCTGGAAGGGCCAGGAGACTACCACAGGGGGGAAGAAGCTGTCAGAGCAGGGAGCATCACTGAGGAATGTGATTCTCTAGGTGTGGCCCCGGGTCCCCCGCCTGGAGGCGCCTGCACTTTCCAGCCTCCCCGAGGGTTTCCAGGCCACCCAGTGGCTGAGACCCTGCTGCAAGCGTCCCCCATCCCCGGCTCAGGGTTTGGAGACCAAATGTAGCTCCCGCACTCCCTCCTAACTCGCTTCTTTGGGAGGGGCCAGAAAGAGTGGTGTTTACAGGGACTTCCTTGAGTGGGGACCTGCTGTCCACACCCTAGCCCCTTGCAACTGCTGGAAGCAGAGCAGCACTCAGAGGCACTCAGCAAACTCGTAGCCATGTCCCACCCCTCAGCTTCAGCTGCCGACTGCTCATGTCACTGACCGCGTGCCCCAGTGGCCTCCCTGGGTGGGTCTCCACGGTTGGGTGCCGTGTTGCTGGGTGCGGCCCCCACTCCCGCAGACTCCTCTGCCCTCCAGGTCTTCCTCGGTCTCGGAGTCAGACCTGCCTGCCGGAGCTGCTGCGGTTCCTGGGGCAGAACGTGCATGCCCGGAAGAACAAGAACGTGGACATCCTGTGGCAAGCTGCTGAGGTACTCGGCGGAGGGCAAGCTCAGCGCTGCACCTGCCACCCAGAAGTCACGGGGCTTAGTCAGCGGGGGCGGAGAGCGCCTGTCTGTCCCCAGGAGGGCACGAGACAGAGTCAGGTGCTGCAGGACTCTGGGAGGGACTCAGCATTGCCCATGAGCGCCCTCATTTAGGGAAGCCTGAGCCCTTGATGCAGGGTCCATCCCAGGGGACACTTAATGGCCAGGCTGGCGACAGCTGTCAGCGGCACCGTCAGTGCCGGCTGAGACTCAGCGCCGAGGCTGCAGTGGCCGTTCACATCTCTTCAGTCTGTCTGCTACGCGCAGTTCTGATCTCATCTCCCCAAGCACTTACACGTCTATGTGGCCAGGAAAGTGTGTGTCTACCTCTCGGTCTCTCCGTAGCAGCAAACAGTCTCAGCTGGCCCTGGCTCGTGACAGCCGTTCCAGGCCGTTTGTTAGACTCTGTATTGAGGGTCCCTCTTCATGAAACTCCCCCCACCACTCGCCCTTTTTTTTTTAACGTGCTCTTGTTGTGATTTACTGATGGCTGTTGCTGCTGGTGTCAGTGTCACCCCTCTGCGGGGGCTCCCTCCTAAGCCTGGCCCGTTTTCCCATCGGCAGATCTGCCGCCGGCTGAACGGAGTCCGGTTCACCAGCTGCAAGAGTGCCAAGGACCGCACGGCCATGTCGGTGACGCTGGAGCAGTGCCTGATCCTGCAGCACGAGCACGGCATGGCCCCGCAGGTCTTCACGCAGGCCCTGGAGTGCATGCGCAGGTGAGTGCTGCTGCCAGGCCGCCGCCCGCTTGCCCGGCCACCGTGTAAACTGCAGATGAGCCGGTGCCCTGTGCCCGCCGAGGGGCCTCCCTGCCCAAGGCCCCTGACGCCAGCCGTCACACTCACGTTTGACAGCTCGTCAAACCGTGGGCCCTGTCAGATTCCGACAGCGCCCTTGTACGGCAGGGAAGGGGAGAGCCAGCAGTCTTTCTGAGCAGGACTGCACTGCTAAGCAGTAGATGGGCGGGCAGGCCGAGGGCAGGCAGCGAGATGGGGAGCTTGGATGCAGCCGTGCCGAAGTCCCCAGGGCCACCTGCCCGGCTGTGGCTGGCGCTGAGGGCCAGCCCGTTAGCAGGCACCTGCTGTTGACATGGTGTGTGTCTGTACATTCCCATAGTTGAGTGAAGGCAGTGCGTCTGCAGGTTGCACCGGTTTGCTCCGCTTCCTCTCCAGCAGCTGACACAGTTTGCTTTCATGAGCAAAGTGTCCAGGGAGTGTTTCACGGTGATGGCCGTCAGCGCGCCCTGGCGACCTCGCCCTCCCAGTGTTCCGATTCTGAGGCAGCAGGCGTGTTTCAGAGGGAATCCCCGCGCGCAGACTGTCCAGTGTTTCTGGTGCCTTGTTCCAAGCACTGCCGGGCAGCCCCAGCTCACATACCAAAAGAAAGGATAAGAAACCTGGTTTCCCCGTCCCCTTTGATGTAGTCACCAATGCTGTTCAAGTCTCGTGTCCAGCGGTCACTTCTACTGAGTGTTCTGTGTCATTTGTCCTCTCACCAAATTCTTCAAAGCGTTCGATTCTCTTATCCTTTCTGTATGTTTCTGCTGTTTGACCTTCTCACAGCGGTGCACAGAAGCAGTGTGAGAGCTCCTGCCTCTTGATCTATCGCAGCGTGTAAGACGGAGTGGTCACGTCCCCGTATTGTCTTTCCACGTTCATCCAAACCTCTCCTTTACGACTTGACCATCCCTCTGCCGCTAGCCTCCCCGTACCGTGGAGGCTCGGGGACTCCTTCCTGCTTTTGGTTATTTTTGTCTGTCTGTCTGTCTGTCTGTAACTGCCTCGGCCAGGGGTCTGCCCTCGGGAGCCCCGGTGCCCTCAGGGGCCGCAGGCAGAGGCCTGCTCCATGCAGCAGTCAGGGATCGCTGTGACCCTGGAAGCATGGCTCCCAGTCAGGTCCCAGGAGCCGTGGTGCGAGGACCACTGTTTAGTTCTTGGGCTCTTGACCAAATTCAACAAAACAGCCATTTGTTCTGAGTGCATCTGAGCACAAAGGTGGCAGGAGACCAGGGCCCGGCACTGTGGGCCACCCCCCGAGCCAGCCTGGGGCTGTGTGCATGGCTCCCACACGTGCAGGACGGCTGTTACAGCCGTGACCATTTACAAAGCACCAGGTGCTTTTTGGAACTTGTAATCATTTGAGTAATGGATTCTCCTCGTAGGAAAATGAACAAAATACAGATAAGCCTCTAGAGTGATTGTACACACGTGGCCCTCACACTCACGGACCCTCCATATTCCTGCTAGGAACAAGTAGCCAGCTGTGTTAACCTTTTGACGCACATTCATTCCTAGGTAGATTTATACATACATAGGGAAGTGAGTGCGGCTGACACACATCTTGCTTAGCCAGTCCCTAAATAACACACAAAATAAGCACACGCAATAATAGGAACAGTTCCCTCTTTCCATCTCTGGTTTTAACTCCCCCCCCCCCCCATTTAACTGTCCCATGATCCCTTTTTCCCAGGTGAATAAGTGCATACAGCCTCACTTGAAACACACCCTAGCGTATGTACTTGGCTGTCACTGAGTGTTTCAGCTGTATGTGATTTTCAGCATTTTGATCCAGGATGCAGTTAAGTGTCTTTATGGATCCTCCTAACGACATTTGCCCCATTAATTGCTTAGGTCAAAAAGTACACACCTCTGCAAGGCCTTTTTTGTAATTTCAATACCAGTGAGCCCATTGCCGCCATACTGGTCACCCTCCCCCTCCGTGTCTGGGGGCGCCCGCCTGGCTGGCACTGCTGCTCTTCCACTGTTCTCAGCGCTGGTTTTCTGTATTCCTCCAGGGTAAGGACCTAGAGGTCCTATGGCGAGGTGGATCTCCCGTGGGAGCAGGAACCATCCCCTCAACACCTCACCTCCAGTTACAGGTGTCTTTCACATTTTTCTTTTTTTTTTTTTTTTCTGAATTTTCTAAAATCTCTTCAGTGAAAGCATATCACTTAAGTAATTCCTTAGGAAGTTATAAAAACGAAAGCAAGCTCAATCCCACTTCACAAACTCTGCCTGTGCCAGAGAGCTCAACACCAGCCACGGGCACAGTGCTCACTGCTGCCTTGAGCTGACCCTGCAGCATTTTGGGCTAAGCGTCCTAAGGAAGCAATAACAGATCTCAGCCATGCCCTTGTGTGGAGGAATCCACTTTGGGTCTCTTGCTTTCTCGCTTGCAACTTATCAGATGGAAGAATAGCATGTGCAGGAGGGCAGAGCTGACACTCAGGCCGGCTTTGTCCTGGAGGTCCAGGGTAAGCAGTGGCCAGTGCTATGCTATAAATGTTCGAAACAGCTCGTTCCAGAACGCCCTGATCTATGGTATATATCAGTTTCCCATCTGGACCATTTTAAGCTCCCAGTGCGGCACCAGCTGGACGTGCATTCAACTCTTCCAAGCCACGTAAGCCAACGTAGAACATTCTTGGAGGTGTCCTCTGTCCCCAGACCAGGAGTTGAGCCCTGCACTCCGTGGGTCTTTCTGAGTAGCCATGGTGATCCACCAGCCCATCCTGGCAGGGAGCGGGCCAGTCAGTGCTCAGGCTAGCTTGGAAAATATCCCCTGTGGCAACAGCATATTCTCACAAGGCCATTGCAGCCAGGTGCTCCTGGGAAAGCTGAGGTGGGGAAAGACTCAGCATGAGAGAAGAACCCTGGATGCCCACCCACTCATGTCTATGCCATCCTTTGCAGGCAGCCTGCTGGGTCAGTTACCACCTGATAGGCATGGATGTGGCTCTAGATCCGATCCTACCTCGGTATATGTCTTCTGTAGCACCAAAAGGAGGGGAGAAAGACCCCGCATTTCCATTGTGTGCTTGGTTGGACTCCATTTTGGGGATCATCTTGTGGAGCCAACTGGCAGTGTTGGAGGCACCGTCACCCATGGCCCTGACGCTGCTTAGCCAGAGACCCCGGGGGGTGTGGGAAGAACTGTGTGTGGTTGAAGTGCATCGTTCTTGTCTGCATGGCTCATCAGGAGGCAGCCTCAGCCAAAGCCGCCGCACCTGGCTCAGGCAGCTGTGAGAAGGTCAAACCCCATGGTTCTTCATGTTCAGCTTGTGTCCAGAATCCCCGTCCGCAGCATGTGGGAGCATGGCAGGCGGCATGGAGCGGTGCTTGGCCAGCCGAGAGGGTGAACATGGAAAACCATCCCTGCAACCTACATGTGTTTATTTTCGGTGGACTGCAGTATTTTTTCTTATTTTCACTTCTCTTTCTCTCCTCTTTCCCTGTGACTGTGCTGGTTTTGTTTTGGCCTCCTCCCCCTCTTTTCTGCATATCACCTTTTCTTTCTGTTGTTGCTTCATGGCATTTTTTTTTTTTTTAAATCTTACCTTTTGGTTCTCCTCTTTTTCCATACTTTTTGATAAAACCCACTGCATGTGTCTTTCTTTTTTGTTTGTTTGTTTCTTTTATTCTTTTTCTTTTTCTTCTTTTTTTCTTTTCCTTTCTCCCAAACTTTTTCCTTTTCACAGCATTGGAACACGGGAGGTAGTCACCCAGAAGAACTTGAGCGGCCTGGTGCCCATCCGAGACTTAAGGCTAGACCCCAGCCTCCTCTGTTCCCTTCCCTTACTGGCTCTGAGCCCCAATTTACTGATTGTGTGGCTCTTTCTGAGCATAGCCTACCTGGTGGCCAAATTGCGTTGCAAATGAATGTTATCCCTATGACAAATTTAAAGTGCCCGAGTCTGCCCAGCCACCGCATACCTAACTGGACAGAAGGAAGGTGTCAGAGCGTGCTCTGCCAAGGAACCTCTCAAACGCTCATGCCTTACAGTCTGGTGTTTTGTTCTTCCGAACTGTAAATACCTGCCAAATTATCTCACCGAGAAGACTCGTGCATTGCAGTCACGTAGCGTCTTAAGTGCTTGTACCATGTTCCGACAGTGCCCTGTTACTGCATTGTTTAGCCGGCCTGGAATCACCTGTACCAAATCTCTTAACCTTCTGATGTAAAACTATTTACTACCTGTATATCTCACGCGCCCTGTTTCCAACGGAAAGGAATTCTGTCAGACAAGAATTTGTATATTTGATACTATTCTTTTACATGTGCTGCTAACCTTCCCCTTCCTTTCGAGGAGAAATGAAAAGACAGAGAGAGATGCTTTATAACTGGCTCGTTTAGATAAACCTCTTGAACGGGACATGTACTTTGTGCTTTCGTTTCAAAGCGTGGTCCCTGGGTGACAGCAGCAAACAATTTGCTTGCAGGGTCCTGACACTTCTTGCTGGGATTTGTTCTTTCTAACCTTTCCATCTGTGGGGATGCCACAGAGCTGTGCAAACAGCAGCGCTCGGCACCGCCTTACGGCCGGGCACCTAGAGAGCTGTGCTGTGTGCGGCTTCAGCGTTAGCTCTTAGCTCTCGAGGGATCGTTAGACAGATTTTAGGAATGAATGTGCGTAGTAACAAAAGGCTGCTAATGCTGTTTGCATTTATGTTTCTTGAAATAGCATCTTTCATTTAAGAAATTATACCTGGGCGGGCGCTGTGGCTCACTTGGTTAATCCTCCACCTGTGGGGCCAGCATCCCATATGGGCGCCAGGTTCTAGTCCCGGTTGCTCCTCTTCCAGTCCCGCTCTCTGCTGTGGCCCAGGAAGGCAGTGGAGGATGGCCCAAGTGCTTGGGCCCTGCACCCGCATAGGAGACCAGGAGGAAACACCTGGCTCCTGGCTTTGGATTGGTGCAGTGCGCCGGCCATAGCGGCCATTTGGGGAGTGAACCAATGGAAGGAAGACTTCTCTCTCTGTCTCTCTCTCTCTCTCACTGTCTATAATTCTACCTGTCCAAAAAAAAAAGAACTTATACCTTTCATTTCAGATTAAAGGCCAGGCATCATGTCTCTCTTGCTAACCAACTGTGGTAGATAATGAAACAAACAAACAAAATCCAAGAGAAATTACCAGCAAGTGAGGCTCAGCTCTTGGGCAGTGGTGGCAGATGGCAATGTGGGAGAAGGTCGCTGTGGTTCCCACGCTTGATATTAACCTGATACTGGCCTCAGAAGGGGATGCTTGCAACCTTAGCATTGGTATGTGACAGAGAGCCACTGTGCACCTGGAGAGTTGGGCAAAATTCCACTCGCCTGGCTCAGAGGCTTCTGTGGCTCCCGGCACATCTTCTGCCGCGCCTCCCTGTTCCTCCTGCGGGTTTCCCACTGTTTGCTGAAGCGCGTGTCTCTTCAGCAGTCTAGAAAAGCTGGCTCTTCCAGAATCTCGACCCCCCAGGCACGTGCATAAGCCCTGTCTGCCGTAAGGTCTGGCCTCTCCAAGACGTCCCGATTCGGCCTCCGCTGAGTTGAGGATCTAGGATCACAGAAGCAACTGGCAATGAATGACAGATGTCAGACGCTAAAGTCCGCAGCGTAAGCCGCCCTCCTTACACCCAGGAGCCCCCCCTTCTCTCTAGAGCTTTGAGCCCCGCAGGATCCCAAGGGCAGGCGTCACCTCTGCAGGCGGGTCCTCCTAGAGTAACGAGGGGCTGTGCTGTGGCCCAGGCCCTGCTGCTCTCGCTGCAAGCCGGCTGACCGGCGGTGGTGTGGGAACAGCTTGTTAATAGACAGGGTCCCAACCAGGCTGCATCTCTGACAGGTGCGTTCACCACTGGCCCTCTTTCACATCCAGGTGCACACTTCAACCCTCCAAGATCATTTTGTTCCTTTATTCAGAGGACGAAAAGTAGCATCCTAGCTGCTGATGCCGGCCAGAGGCAGTGGCACACGTACCCGCCCGCCTCAGAAAAGGAGCAGGTGGCCAGGCAGAAACCCCTCCCCCAGGGCCCAGGGTGCTCTGTGGCACTCTCCAGGGGCTCCTGCCAGGACCCCACCCTACAGCAGAGGGGAGGCGTGGCCAGGCCCCAGGGGCCTCCAGGACACCACAGTCTGACCCGCGGCTGCCTTCCTGTCCTGTGTAGACTTGGCTATAGGGCCGAGAAAGATCCAAGACGCCGGGAGAGGGGATCGGCTCCTTGGTGTCTGTCCTGCGGGGCCGGGCACAAGGCAGCACATGGCGCCCTGCCTGTGTGGTTAGGGGCGTGGGAGGGCCAGCACTAGGAGGGACTCCAGGAAGTCAGCCCGGAGATGCGGGGGTGTTGTCCCTCCCCCCCCTTAAAACAGCTGAGAAGAGAAACTCAGTATCCTCACTCCTTGTGCTGGGTTTCAGTGTCACCAAGGCCTCTTTTCATGAGATGAGGCCCAATACATAATTTGAAATCATGTCTGCTTCAGCAAGAAATAGGATGGAACAGGAGGAGATGATTCAAGAAAGGAGAGACAGGGGCTGGCATTGTGGCACAGCGGGTTAAGCCACCGCTTGTGACACCAGCATCCCATATCGGAGCCCTGGCTGGATTCCAGCCCGCTCCATTTCTGATGCAGCTCCCTGCTTATGCACCTGGGAAGGCAGCGGAAGAGGCCCAAGTACTTGGGCCCCTGCCACCCATATGGGCGACCAGGGTGGAGTTCCCGCCTCCTGGCTTCTACCTGGCCCAGCCCTGGCCATTGTGGCCGTTTGGCCAGTGAACCACCAGATGAAAGATAACATGCAGGCTCTTTTGCTCCCTCTCTGTGTCACTCTGTCTTTCAAATGAAACAAATCTCAACAAACAAAAAAGCCAACAGAGTGAGTGGGGAGGAGACACCTTTGGTGCTGGCTCTGGGTTGCCTCTGAAGTGACGGCGTGCTGTGGCACTGTGGAGGCCCCCAGCCCTGGGTGTTCCATCCGCGTCTGTCTCTGAAGTTAGGAAAGCCACTATCAGAGCCGCTCTCTTTGGCCAGTCCTGTAGAAATCATCGTGCCACTTAACTCTGTTCAACTCGTGTGACAGTCCCTGTTTACTCTGTGGCTTGGTTCCAGGAGAGGTCTTAATGCAATGGCATGTTCTCCCTGCCGAAGGGACCGGGGAGGCAGCCACCGCCCAGGTCTGCCGGCCTCCACGTGCGCTCCAAGTGGAAAGGGAAAACCAGCGGTTTCCTGAATCAGTTGTCCTTTGGGCTTTCCATTGCAAGCTTCATTTCAAAAGCAGACATCCTTGAAAGTAAAGTACATGCATACAGTGTAGCTTCAAAATAGTTAGATCTCTCTTGCCAAAATCTGTCCAAGACCTTCTCCACGCTGACTCCTAAAAACCATGCAGCCAGTTACAGTGGGGACCGTCAGTCCCCGCAGGGCCCCTGGCCACCTCTGCACGCCTTCTCCCCAGCCCTACTGCCCGCCTGTCCAACTCTGCAGACCATGTGACGGGTGTCTGCCTGGGAATCAGCCAGAGCAGCCAGCTTTTGTAAACTCAGACTCTGGATTTAAAAGTACAATTTAGTTTAACAGCTAAATTGAAAACCAAAGTTTTATGATTATAATTCCAATGACAGTGTTTTCAGCCGGCTAATCCAGGCTCCGGCTCCTTCCACACGTAAACAGGAGAGAATGTGAAAGTCCACTGGTGGCCTTCCTTGCTCCTCGAAGCACCTGGGCATCCTCTAGTGACAGCTGGTCTTCGAGAAGTGTGTGCATTCCGTTTGATCTTAGCCAAAAGGCCGAGAAGCGGTAGCTTGTGCGTTTCTGTGTTAAGTGGAGAAGCCATATCTATTCCATTCCATTAATGGGAGAGCTTCCAAAGATGAAAGCGATGAACTGTGCCTGGGAACCTAGAGTTTCTGTTTTAAACAGGATCGCATTTGGGTCTGGTTCCCGAACGTTAGACGCTCACTGAGACCCTGCTCACTGGGTCTGTGCGGAGCTCGGGACACACATCCGGCCGAGGGCTGCGGCCGAGCTGAGTTACTGCATTCATTAATACAACCAGGTGGATATTTTTCTAAAATACCGGAGCTTATCTTTTGAATAAAAATGACTGTCTTACCAAAAATACCTTATGTATTCTTGATACCGAGATTGTCATTTTCACTTTAAAAGGCTTCAGCAATTGCTACTATTTTTTTTAATGCATGACATAATGGTCTTCATGCAATTGGACATATTTTTTTAAAATCACTGTTTCTTGATAGCTGCAAAATTTGCATATAAGGGGGGGTTTTGTACTGAATTTGATAACTAGTCGACTTCATTGCTAGTTTGAGACTATAAAACACGTTGTGGCGTGCCGTCAGAAGTCGGTCCGACGTAAGACTGCTGCTGCCCGTTACTCTCCTGTCTACACCGCAGCGTTGCGCGACAGCTTTGTGATGCTGTCACTGAGAACGTGAGGCCGGCCTGGGTGCTCTTCCTCTCCTGTGCGTGTGTTTCACCCACTGGGCTGCCAGGAAAACCCTCCGTCAGACGTCCTTGCTGGCGATGATGCTGGTGGCCGGTTGTCTGGTGGCAGGGCACCCGTCTCACAGGCACTTGTTCAAGAGCGACACAGCGAGGGCACCCCCCTGGAGAACAGTGGCTGGCTTCCAGCTGGAGGCCACTGCACCAGCCCTGGTAGCCGAGCACAACGCTTGGGCCGTGGGGCTGATTTGCCCCGGAACAGGTGGAGCACGCAGGCCAGCAGAGCCACTCCTGCCCAGGGCTGTGGCCAGGAACAGCCAGCGTTCTGAACCAGGTGTGGTTATTTTTCTAACACTGAAAGATTCAGCTCTTTATTTTGCTGTGTCCCCCCCCACCCTTGGCGCTCCAAGTTGTGATAGAACCTCAGATACCTGGACGTGAATGAGATACACAAACTCGGGAACGTAACGCCAGTTTGGAAATGCACACGGCCCCAGCCAGCATGCGTCGGTGTCTGTGCTCCCTACCCATTGGCCTTGGTCAGGAGCCCGCCATCTTGCATGTGTATTTGTTGTGAACAAGTCTGGCCACCCATTTAAATGAATCCGTCCCCACCCCCTTTTTTTTAATGCTATGAAAATGATCAGTTCATTTCATCTTAGTTTTTAAGTCTTTTCCTTTTTTACTGCTGTCATTTCTTGTGCTTGTTTTTTCCCAGTGAGGGTTGTCGAAGAGAAAATACAATGAAGAATGTTGGAAGTCGCAAATATGCGTTTAATTCCCTGCAGCTGAAGGCTTTCCCCAAGCATTACAGGCCTCCCGAAGGGACTTACGGCAAGGTTGAGACTTGAACACCCGCTGTCCTCTAATTAGCGGCTCCATAACACACGTGGGGGCCCCTAGTGTCCTACATGCGTTCTTCAAGAAGACCCGAAGGATTGAGTTATATTTTTGTGTTTTCTAAAAACTAGCTCACTGAAGAGTCCATGGAGCATGTTTGTTTTCCCTTTCCGTTGGCATCCATAGGGGGTCACGTCTGGCCCGGTAGCGTGGATGGAGACCGCCCGTGTCAGTAGCCCTCAGCTGTACCCATAGGCGCCGTCCCCAGGCGCTGCCGACCCAAGCTAGCTTTGTCTGAGATGCTACGAGACGTTTTCAGGTGTCCACTTAGGAACCGCTCACCTACCTTATTTTTCTACCGAGTCACCGAGAGTGAGCATCGAGTTCCAATCTACTTTTTACAGATCTGAATGTAAAACAGCAAAGGCTCCCGTCAGCGATCGCTCCCTAGGCAGACCCAGCCGTGGCGACCACTCCCGTTTCGGAGAAGGCACGCGCGCCTTCTCCAGATGTCGAGTGCCATCGCTCCAGGACCTCACGTGTGGCCTGTCTGAGAGACACCACCCCGGGGTCGGGGGTAGGGGGATTCGTGACTGTAGAGTTAGCGGGAACCTACGTACTTTCCGAATAAGTGTTCTTTTGCAGGGTTTCCAATCTATATTACTCTAAGACACAGTACAATCACGTTGGAATGTCTGATAAAGGTATCTTATTTTTAGGTTTGCATAATTGTGACTCTCCCCTTCTTGTTCTGTTATGTGAGATGGCTACTGAGACCCAGTTAAAGTGATCTCCTCAAATGAGATTGCGAAAGGGATTTATGGGCCACTGTGTCTGGACACGGTGTTGATGACGAGTCAGCTGCACACAGCAGGAGTTTCTGTGTTTGATCAGTCCTGTGTATCATGACGATGTTTACATGTTATTTAAGAGGCTGTAAAAGAAACAGATGGTGGCGCATGTCAACGCTGATGACCCAGTGATGTGTGAAGCTGTTGGAAATTCGCATGTCGGAAAGCCCAGACATATGAGCTCCGTAATAAACTCGCGGCACACTTGAGCCTGGGGTGCTGAGATGCGGGCTGGTCCGCTCCCGAGCAGGAACACGGAAGGGCATGGGGTAGGGCGGGACTCCGTGCCCTTCCGCGTCCCTTCCTGCGCAGAGCCCACCTCTCCAGCTGCCCGATGCCAGCAGGTGAACTGCTGGGGAGGGGGCTTTCATGAGGCCTCCCTCGGAGCTGGCACCTTGTGTGGGGGGCTGGGGCAGAGGCATTTGCCCTCTGCACCGCTGCCCAGGCGGCTGCTTTGGAGCCAGAAGTCTCCTTTTCGATGTGACCGATTCAGCCACTCCCCTCCCCACCGTTTCATTGAATTTGTTTTTTTTGTGGCATCTTTTTTTCATTTTACCATCACTACCATTTTTTTAAAGCTCCTCGTTTTTTTTTTTTTTTAAGTTTTTTTTAAAACTGAGTTTGTTACCCATGTTGTTTTCCAAACCTTTTTGTCTCGATTGCATTAAATATCTGCATCTGTCAAAGGGAACAGGACAAACGGCGAGGCGCCCCCCCCCCCCCCAGCCGTGTGCGCGCAGCACCTCCGTGCGGGTTATTTGCCCCACGGTGACTTCCGGTTACGGGTCCCTGTAGAACTCTAAGGTTTGGCTCGTCACGGAGGAAAGGCGCGGCTTTCAGCGTTCTCTCTGGAGGCACCTGCTGGGGCGAGGGGCACAGCCTGGGGAGCTTGGGGTTTGCAGCTGTGGGAGGGCTGTGGTTTTCCAAAACCAAGTTTGCATCCAGTGCTCCTGGCCAGGCCCTGCCCCCAGCCCCGAGTAAAGACACGTGGGCGGCGGGGGTGCTGGCCGAGTCCCGTTCGTGTCCTGTACAGATGTAAACATACTGTATCATACGGCCGCGTCCCTACGCAGTTCTATCTGCCAAGCCTAGTGCATATCAATACTTTTATTTATTTGTTTGGGGCAGTATTAATATATATATAAACATATAGTTACTGTTTTCTATATTCTTAGCTCATTCAAAGCCATGTATGCTGTAAATGTGCTAGTCTCTAGAATGACAAATAATAAATAACTGACAACACTGAACTTGGTCTTGCCTGATTCATTCTGCTAAGCAGGAGCGCTGGCTTCTTGGACCGTCAGGTGCCAGCCGCCCGCGGGGTAGCAGGGTTAGAGCAAGTGTGGGCGGCAGCGGGCACAGCCCCAGACCCCAGGACTGGCCTCAGCGACCTCTCCTCGCGGGCGGCTGTGGGCGGCAGTGCCGCATCTGCTAGGGTGCAGCCTTCGTGGTGGCGCCTCTTGTTGCCTTTGCCGGCAGTAAACGTGGGTCCCTCCTGGCCCTCTCGGGGTGCGTGACTGAAGTGCGCGTCCTTGTCGGCCGCCCCGATAACATCACCAGGACTTCATCCTGCAGCTTTGCCCTCGTTTGAGGCGCAGGTGCCGGGGAGCTCCCTGGCGATAGAAACGTACAACTCAAGGATAGCGTCAGTGTTTGCTGTTTGAATTTTTAGTATTTTGACCAAGAGGGGAATTTCAGCTCCACCCATTTCCCATGCCTTTTCTCTGCGTTCGCATCGATGCCATAAATGACACCTCACTCTGATTTCTGCTTCGTGGATCGCGATGAGTACTTTTCACACCTTTACTCGTTTCCGTTTTTGTGACTTCTTGGAGCGCTGGCCTCTTCATGTAAAGTGTTTCTTAGTACGTGATGGTCCTTCTGCCAGGCAGGGTGGTTTGAACCTGGTTCGGCTGTGTTTTGCCTTTGTTTGGGGTGGGGCCCACGGAAGGTTTACATGTGGCGTGTAGTCAGGGGCACCTGCCCTGCTCTGTGTGCCACTGCTTCTGACCCCAGGCCGGGCATTAGGGCTGTGGGTGATGCGGCAGACAGCTTATGCTTGCCCGTGCAGTGGGGGTGGTAGTGCACCCGGGGGGCTGGCTCAGGTGCCTGTTGGCACCTGTCTTGGCACCTACTCTGTGCTTGGTGTAATTCTCTTTGGGGGTGTGGCTGTCTAAGCCCACAGGGTCTGATGCCCACCTCCCATCTGGAGCACCTGGGCTGAGTACCTGGCCCTGGCTCCCGACTCCTGACTCCGGCTTCCTGCCAGTGCAGACCCTGGGGAGCAACAGTGATGGCTAGAGTCAGTGGGTTCCTGCCACGTGCAGGGGAGCCCTGGATTTAGTGTCCAGCTTGTGGTTCTGGCCTAGCCCAGCTGCTCTGGGCATTTGGGCGACAGGCTAGCCCATGGGAGTTGTCTCCCATGTTTAATTAAACCAAATGCTATTTATGGTTTCTGCCTTAGCTTGCATTATTATTATTATTACTATTTTAATGTTTATTTATTTGAGAGGCAGAGAGAGCTCCTCCTCCAATGGCTCCCTCTCCAGATGGCCACAATGGCCACACCTGGGCCAGGCTGAAGCCAGGAGCCAGCAACTCCATCTGGGTCCCCCACGTGGGTGCAGGGTCCCAAACACTTGGTCCATCCTCTGCTGCTTTCCCAGGTGCATAAGCAGGGAGCTGGATCGCAAGTGGAGCAGTCGGGACAGGAGCTGGCACCCATGTGGGACGCTGGTGTTGCTGGCAGCGGCTTTACCTGTTGTAGCACAGCGCCAGCCCCACCTGCCTTAGCTTTCATGCCCACGTCTGTAATTGTTCACCTGTCCTTACAGCTGTGACTTCTGATTTCACTTCGGTCAGTCCACCTGGAATTACTTTGGCCTAAGTCCTGTGCTGTGTTTAGAGGTGGCTGACTCAGCGGCTGCCCCCGCCAAGCCAGCCGTGACTTTGCTTCTTAAAGGCACTCCCCCGGACCTCTGCGGGGTGCTCCCTTGCCCTCTCCTTCTCATGCCCTTGGGGTCTGCCCCTGAGTTTCCCTTTCAGTCTCTGCGCTGTGGGTGATGCGGCTGCTGGCGGCCGGGTCCTGGGGGTTTTGTGTCAGGGGAAGCTGGGGCGGAGCTTGGCCATGTGTGATCTTCCTGAGGGTGGAAGTGATCAGCCCTGGGGTGGCGGCGGCTGTGACCTTGCCAATTGCCTCCTGGGAGTCAAAACAGCTGGTTGGCACCAGTTTCGAGTAGACAAAGGCCTCATCAGCATCGTGTGTTCCTCATGGAGCAGTAAGGGCCCTGGGTCTTCCCGAGCGGGGCGCACTCAGCAGTCGCCCGTGTTTGCCGCTTCTTCTGGGGACAGGAGGACGCTCGCGCTCGGGGCAGCAGGTCCTGGGAGGACGCGGTGGGAGGAGGGCATGGCCTTGGCCCTGCACTTCTCTCCTGCTCCTGGGAGACCCTCTGAGCCCTGTACCTCACCTGGCCAGCGGGCTGCCTACAGATTTCTCCTTGTGGGGACACACAAAGTCCTTTGTCACTTTCCCCCCAAAATGCCCTCCCTTCCCAGCCGCTGTTAAGAGCTGGTTTTTCTCTGTGTTGCAGTGAGGCCTCGCTCCACTGCATCCAGAAGCCCAGGAGTCCCTGGGCACCAATGGCCACAGAACTGGAGGTTCCGGACGGTGGGCACAGGGCAGGCCCCGCCTGGTCAGGAGGCCAGCCCTGGGACTGTGTCCACACTGTGAACGTTCTCTCTTCTCAAGGGTAGAAAGCAAGCACGTCTACACGGGACGATAGCCAGCCTTGGAGAGCCGTAAGGCAGGAAACCAAACCAGCCCCGTGTGAGAGGGCCGTGCTAACCCACAAGCTCGCTCCTTCATCCCTGGGAGCACCCGGCCCCGGCAGGGGGAGAGAGGAGAGAGGTGCGAACTGCTGGGGGCGCTGGGGGCGCAGAGGCCAAGGCTAGGGCTGCTCCCGATCCTGCCTGCGCGGTGCGCATCGGCCCCGGGATCATTCTGCAGTCAGTCTGCCAGCCAGGCAGTGCCTTCAGGTGAGAGAACCCAGGATCATTCTGCAGTCAGTCTGCCAGCCAGGCAGTGCCTTCAGGTGAGAGAACCTTGCCTGCTGGGATTGCAGTGGGCTCCTAGGAGCCGGCCTGCACGGGCACCCCCTCCGCTGCCTGCCCCAAGCCACACAGCAGCCTGTGCCGCCCCCTAGGTGGCACCAACTGGGGCTGACCACCCCCGCTACGCTGTGGTCCCTGAGTGCAGGATCAGAACTGCCGTGCTCCCCTCGCCCCCCTCCCCGCCAGGCCCCACACCTGCTGCCTGCAGCACGACCCACGCACCTGTGGGGCCAGCCCAGGCGGCCGAGTCCCCCTCTGCTGTGCCATTTGACAGGTGTGAGGAGCAGGCCTGGAAGATGGAGCACGTGCCTTCCTTCCCAGGGCGGGGAAGGAGCGGGTGCAGACCCCTCCCTGCTGCCTCGTCCACGCCACGGCCCCGCCCTGGGCGGCTGCGACCCCACTGTGTGGGTGACCCTCTCGCTTGCTCTGGCTCTCCATCCATCCGTGACTTGGCGGGGTCCCCAGCGTTCGTCTGTAACCCCCTTCTCCTGTAGGACGCTCTTGAAAATCCTCAGCCTGTTCTGTGCCACGCGTGACCCGTGGACGCTGTGAGTTGCACACGAGGTCCTTCCTAGCCTGTATCCCAAGACCAGACCCATCCACACCCACCGGCAGAGCCGCTTCACTTTGCTGAGTGTCTCCAACGGGGTCTCCTCCAGGCTGGCTGAGCCACAGTAAACGACCCACCCCCCCATCCATCCCGCCATCCCCCCATCCACCCCCATCCACATCTGTTCCCTGCCGGCTCCCAGCAGCCACTAAGGTCTGCTGTCTCGCCAGCCTGCCCACGGTTTCCACACATGCACACACACCCACAGCTGTGGCCTCTCTACCTCCCCTCCGGTCGGGACCACTTCTCAGCCTCCCTATCCGTCCCTATCTGTCCTCAAGGCCCAGCCCTGGCACTCCCTCACCTGTGTTTAGTTCTGCACAGAATGTGTTGGCCCTCTAGTAAAAAAAAACAAAACAAAACAAAAAAACACTTCCCTGCATTCAGTTTGGAACATGGCCGTGAGATCACGTGCGTCCTGTGCACCACGTCACTTGCCTGTGTGTGAGGGGCAGGTGTAATGCCTTCCCTAAAGGAGCCACTCAAAACATGTCTGGAATGGAAGGGTGAAGAGCGGTGTTTATGCTGCTCCCGCGGAATCTTTGCCTTTTCAGCACAAGACCGCACTGCTTTGTCTACGTGCTTAGTATCCTACACCCAGCACCAGGAGCCGAACCAGATAGTCAAGGGCAGACTTTAGGGCAGGGTAGCCAACAGGAGCACAGTGGCTTCCTCTCCAGAGGGCAGTGGGCGGGGCTCTGATGAGAGTGAGGCTGCACAGGCGCACGATCCAGACAGCGGCTGCCAGGGACTTCCTTGACGGTTCTGTGTTGACATTAAGCAAACCTCCTACTCACTCTTCTGCACTGACAATGAAAACTAAATGTGAAAACCCACCACTGATGAACAATCTGAAAAGGAGACTAAGAACACAATTCCATTTGTGAAAGTATTAGAAAATAGCATAAACTTAGCCAGCCAAGGAGGCAGAAGTCTTGTATGTTGACGAGGACACAATTTTGTTGGCGTTAAAGACACCAGTGAACAGAGACAGACATGGACAGCAGTGTCCATGCAAAGCAAGCTACAGACTCCACACTGCAGCCATGCTTCCGCAGGAATAGACACAGGCATCCCGAAATCCACGTGGACTCTCCGGCCCCAAGTACTCAAGGCAGCCTTGATGAAGGAGGCTGGAAGCTTTCCACGTTCTCATTTCACACGTCACAAGCTACAGCAATCAAGAGTGTGCCAGTGGCACGAAGACCAGCACAGTCTAATGGAGCAGAGCGCCCAGAAAGAAACGCTGGAAACAGGGTCAGCGTTCTGGTGTGGGGGGTTAAGCTACCACCTGCCACACCAGCATCCCACATGGACAGCTGTTTGAGTCCCGGCTGCTCCACTTCCGATCCAGCTCCTGGCTAATAACCCTGGGAAAGCAGTAGAAGATGGCCCAAGTGCGTGGGCTCCTTCCAACCATGTAGGGGACCTGGGTGGAATTCCAGGCTTCTGGCTTTGGCCTGCCCCAGCTGTGGCCACTGTGGTCATTTGGGGAGTGAACAGCAGATGGAAGATCTCTATCTTCTC